AAAATTTGGTATGTATATCGAAGAGCGCAGGGACTATCACATATATACCGTTTTTTTGAAATTCGAAAAAAATTGGAAATTTTTTGAGTTTTTCTAAAAAAATCAATTTGTTTGATTTTTGGGGGTCAAAATCCCAAAATTTCGAAAATCCGAGATAGCAGTTTTGTAGCACCGTCTTTTCTCTACACAACAACATAAAGAACTTTAAATTGCTTGTTAACTGTAGAATTGGTGAGCGTTTCAAGATGTCATGTTTGTTTGCTCATTTTTACTCAAACATGACCTCAGTTTGACCTCAATAACTCCTGACCTGAGGTGACCTGTGACTTGCAATTCTGTGTGAAGGTGTCAAATTGATGCCCGGTAAGGTACCCAAAATTTGGCGGCGCTGCGCGCCGCCGTTTTCTCGCTATTTAAGAAAAACCACAGGGGGGAGCCAAAATGGCCCCCCCATCAGGGCGCGGGTTCCACTGGCTTACCGAAATTATTCGTGCAAATCTTTGAGGGTCAATTTCATCGGAGCAACAACAACGATACTTAACAGTAATTAAACCATCTAAAAGTTCCCCAAACAGATACGTGTACCTACTTATCAAATCAGTAATAACTAAAATCTGGATTGAACAACAAAAAAAGGTATCAAAACGATATCCTTTCCATAAAATAAACCTAACATCAAATTGTTGTTGCTCGTTTCTTTGCTTCCTTTTTGCATGCATAAGATATTGGTATGCGGATGATATCATCAATTAGTACGGCGTAGTTTATTTCTGTATTTCCACCCTCATGACGAATGTGTCATAATCGCACGCAACTCAGCAGAGAACAAACTAATAACATTGTGTAGACATTTATGTACGATACGTCAACTGACTGTTGAGGCCTGGGATTTCCACCCAAGATCGTCAGCGTGATGCCTCAGCTGTTGTGGCTGTCGCACAATGCGTAATTTGTCGTGCTACTTGAGGAAAACTGTATCTGTGAGCACGGACGACGAGTATCGATATATGACAAGCGTTTCGTCGGATTAGATACAGCTAAGCACTGCGTGCTAAACTGTGCACGGAATTCCCTGCGGAATAGACACGGTGGCGTTTTCTTGCAGCTGTCGCACTGGACGAAGACCTGAATGCAACGCATGCTGTTATCGCGTGTGCTAGGCACGGATCAATCACTCATTCTCAAACTAGGAAGTATATTATATAAGCTTCATTCTATGTAGTTAAGCCTTTGTGTAGGTACGATTATGAATGAAACAGGTTTCTGCCGGTAATCAATATCAAATTAACCCTCGCCGGACCTATTGGTTTTCTACATACGCGCCGGCCGAGGGGGGGGGGGCGGGTACGACCCCCCCCTCGCCGTTTCGCCCCTGGTGGAGCTAGCGCGTCGCGGAAAAAACGAGCGTGTGCGCCGTTACGAGACGCAGAGATTGGTACCCGATTTTAAGGTCCTAGGTCAACCGGTGACCTCTGAGGTCAGGTCAAGTGCCCCAAGGTACGGTTCAGGTTTTGGTGAATAACTTCGCAAAAAACGGCCGCAGAGCGCCGATATTGGCAGCATCGTGTTCGTCTCGCTCAGGCGCGTCGAATGATATACTTTTTGTTCGGGTCAGGTCAACTTGGGGTGTTGACCTCAGGTCAAGGTCAGGTCAGCACCCCCAGGTCACGAAGTTGGTCGAAAGAGGTCATGTCGCATATCATTCGATTCGGCAGGTCTTCCTGAGTCCATTGGTGGCTTTCTCGACTCGCTAGCTCAATTTGATCAAGAGTTATTGACGAAAAACTAATATGACCTTGATGACGTCATAAATGACGTCACGCAAGGTCAACATTGCAAAAGTGACGCATCTAACCTTGCAAGGAGTGCATCAAATCACGATTCTGTGTGCTTGAGATAGTTGGAGATCGTTCCCGGCGCCAGAATAGCAGTTTTCATTTTTCCCCATTGACTTATAATGGTGAGGTCACGAAAATGACCTGACCTCATATGACCTTTAGGGAAAAATCCGAGATATACAAGTTGTGCGACTCATAATGGATACTAGATCCTGCAAGTTTCATTTCCCTGTGACATCTCCTCTGGCAGTGAGGGCGTCGCGAAGTTGCGACATCTGAAGACCGTGCAGAGGTTCACTTATGACGTCATAGGTCAGTGACCTGACCTGACCCAAAAATGCGGTTGGTGTCAAAAGATGCGGCTTGGATCAAAGGTCAGGTATGCCAAGTTTCAGCTCTCTATCGCCAGCGTGTTCGGAGCTATCGCGAAAAAAACCCCTATGGGGGGGCGGCACCCGTCCCCCCCTCGGCCGGCGAGGGTTAAAGGAATCCTGCCAAATGCTCAGAAACAGCTGCCAGATCGAATGATATGTATCATGACGTGACCAAAGGTTAGCCTCCCGTGATCTGACCGGCATTGGCTTGATCTTAACCCTCGCCCATGTAGGGGGGGTTGGTGCAACCCCCCCCCCCCTGAGGTTTTTCGGAAATAGTGCAAAAACGGCGGCGCGCAGCGCCGCCAAATTTTGGGTACCTTATGGGGCAAACCTTGCGCATCTTTTGATAAAAAAAAAATTGACCGGGTCATGTCAGGTCACGGAGTTATGACGTCACAAAGGGAACAGCCTCCGGCCGGATTTTCACAAACTGAGTGCCAACGCCCGAGGTTTCCTGCCGGTGGTACGGACATCGGTTGATGGATCGTGATGAAACTTCCCATGCATGTTGGGGCAAGTATTGGCTATCATATGGTATAAGAAACTTGACCGGGTCAGGTCAGGTCACAGAGCTATGACGTCACAAGAGGAACAGCGTCCGGTACTATTTTTGAAAAGCGCCCGAACCACTATTTTGCTAATTCTTGTCACCTCAATGGGAATATGCAGCAATATTAGCTTCTATAGGGAGCAAATGGACCTCCCAAATCCAAAAATACAATCAGATTTCAAAAATTTAAATTTTGATTTTTAGAATTTCTGCCGCCGACTGTGACCATGCCGACTTCCGGCGCTCCCAACGCGCCATTTTTAGAGCTAAGGAAACGAAATACATACCAAACGATAGAGAATTGATCAAGGAACACGATAGTGAAGGTTTCAAGTCGATATCTCCCACCGTGTTGCCGCAATCGCCGCGGAAAGTTGAAAAAAGTCTATTTTTCCGAAAATTTGACCTTTGACCGGTCAAAAGTAGGTCAAATGTTGACCTAGGACCAAAAAATATACCACCAATCGCGAGATCTCGGCGAGAGCAATCCGTTGGTCTTTTCCGCTAAGCTCTACGACGCTCCGTTTTCAAACGCCAAGGGGGGGTCGCACCAACCCCCCCCCCCCCCTGCATGGGCGAAGGTGGCAGATCGCCGTTTACGGGCGAGGGTTAACCTGAGGCTAAGACCCACTTAAGGCTGAATTCTAACCGTTGGGTTTTTGGCCTGACTTTTGAGAATTGGGTGACCCTTGAGTCACAATTGTGTTCACCGCCCACCGGTGGACTTGACTTTGAAATTGACCAAATCGCTGCGGTTTAGAACAGTCCTTTTTCCCGAAAGTCAGGCTGAATTAAGGACCAAACAGCGAGAATCTAACGCGTCCCAAACGACCGGGATATAGAGGATTCTTCATGGCTCCGAGTGGAAGATAAGGATATCTTTTCCAAGCGGGTTACTGAAAAACCGAGCGACGAAGGAGCGAGGTTTTTCAGGCATCTTATCGCGTTACTGAAAAACCGAGCGACGAAGGAGCGAGGTTTTCTGTAACACGCGAGGAAAAGATATCCGAACTTCCACGAATGAGCCATGAGGAGTCCTATATTTTTCTATGTTGAGATTTATTCTTAATTGATAAAATATTATATTTAAATGTATTCATCTATGTAAAAATAGATTCAGAGTAGTTTGTTTTTATTTCATAAGTTTCATCCATAAACAACCGAAATGTCGTTCGGTTATTGACCCATAATCACATGAACTCTTGATTTTTCGCACCCTCGATACCTTATCTTTGCATCTCAGAGGGATGCTGATATAACAAATTCTTATCTTTGCATCTCAGAGAAGCGCGAGATAGAAATATCCCTGCACTGTAGACCCAATGGCAAATAAACCTCAACTAGAAAGATAATGTAATATTTAATAGGTTTGTCGAAGTAGTTAGAAGTTAGAAGTAGTAGTACGAAGTTGTTTTGGTGCCTTTGTAGCATGTTACGAAGCTGTCAGAGGCGGTTGACACCTACTACGAATACCTGGCAGGACCCCTACTGGTTGACCTAACCTGACCTGACCTGACCCGGCCTAAATGCATGAAGACATCATCTGTGATCAAAACTAACATGATATTCGTGATCAGCACCCCGAAAAAAGCCATAACAGTCCCACTTCACGACGTTCTAACAGGTCCCGATTTTCCCGAGTTTTGGGTCATTGACCTAATCTGGAAGGTCAACCAATGACCTAGGACCTTAAAATTGGGTACAATCGGCTTCCTCTCGTCACTGGCAACACGCTCTTTTTTTCCGCGAAGCTCTAGCTCAATCAGGGGCGAAACGGCAAGGGTCCAACGGACCCCTCCCACCCCTTTTATACGTTCGCGGCTGGAAAAACACCAATACGGGCGAGGGTTAAGCATGTGGCTGTTTTTATGTCTACGAGTATGTTCAATGTAAACCATTGCAGTACCAATAGGCTGCTTACCAGTGGGTTCGTTGTTTATGGCAGTTGAAGGAAATCTCGGGAATTTGAGACGAGTAACATATCGCTTACAATTTATGACTGACAATCCCTAGCCAGAAATGTTGTCATCTACCCGTTCACCCCACAAGCTTACCGCGCTCAGTGTTTGTCAAAGCTGCGAACCGCATTCTATCGGTATTTCCATGTGAAAATAATCAAAATCATTACCCTTAGCCGACTCTGCGAAACTGATTTGCACCGAGTGCCCTCGGGGTGGCTGGGAAATACGACGCCTGCAGCCCACGCATATGTGACCGTTCCCGGGCATGGGGTACAGGGAAATACTAAACCGGTTCCCTCGGACTACCACAGACGCTGATATATAATACCAGCCGCGAGTGAGACGGGCATCATTAGCACAGTCATTCGACATCAGCAAGGAGCTTCCAGTCACAGGTAATTGTGAATGTGTAATAGTACAGGTGTTCCAGTGAGGGTGAGGGTAACAAAGGCCGACAGCCGTCTGGGAATGTATGACTCACAGCAAAGGGATGTACTGTGAGCTATTTTTAGATGCGGTGGGGAGAGATACGGCATTGTAAACGGTGATAATCCCCAGCTTTCAGCCATGGAATTTGCTTGTGCCCTTACCATGAATGAATTTTGGTTATTTGCATAGTTGAGTGTTTGGGGAAGGGGGGGGGCTGCATTTCTTGATCGTATATATTCTGATCATTCGACATAGCTGATGCTTTTGAGCTACCATCTGTTTGATTTTCATTTTGTTTTATTTGTTGTTTCTGTTCATCGAGAAAACTTGGCTCAAGCCTCTGGCTGATGCATTGTATGGAAGTAGCTATCCGTTTTACCAATTTCCCTTTCTTCTTATTACCCGTATTTATCTACAATATTATGGATACACTTGGCGTCGAAATAATATTTTACCCACCTTTTCCAGCCACCAAACACTTTAGGCCTTAGGGTCAGAAGAATATTCAATGTAAGCCACTACAAAGCGGATAGATATAGAAGGTGGTAAGTTTTATTTTTGTATTCACCACTAAGCTCCTCTGTGGTTTCCCAGGTCCGCAGTCATGAAGGTCGCCGTGGTTCTCCTCTGTCTGGCTCTGGTAGCCACCGCTAGCGCTCAGCGCTTCGGTAACCGCCGGTTCCAGCGGCGGCGTCCGGTCGGAGGAGCCAACGGGTTCGGCAACGCGGGCTCCACTCAGGGACAGACCTCTGGCCTCTTCGGTACCAGCCAGATCCAGAACAGCTTTGCGAATGCTGGGGTGAGTTGAAGGATTTTGACAGCAATTCGATTGCGCTCGTGGTTTTTGCTCATTAGTATCTTCGTTGAACCGCATTATCTCGGCTCACATAAAAAGCATAACAAGCGTGCCTTCTGTGTGACGTGGTAGCGCTCCTTTGCTTTCCCCTTCACGCTAATGAAAACTGCTATAGGTATCATTCAGACGGAATTTCATCGACTTAGCATACGCTGTTAAATGTTCCTAAAGCACACTTACGCACGCCAATGAAAGAAAATAGTCAATAGAACTGAGGTGTATTGTGTGATGCAGATTCGTAACGTTTGCCTTTGTTTCAGGGTTCTGCTTTTGGTGGTGGCGCTTCCTTCAACCGTGCCAACAGCAACGTGGGCCAGAGCACAGGGCTGTTCGGAAACCGCCAGTTCGCCAACAACCAGGCCACCAGCAACCAGTTCGGAGGCTAACAAGCCATGTCATGTCATGCCAAGTCAAGTCAAGTCATCGTATGGCATGATCGGCGCTGCATGAGAACACGTGCATCGTCTCAGCAACTTTAGTTCATAATGAACATTGCAATATGTAGCACAGTAAAGTCAAACAAGCGGAAGGTCAACCGTCAGTCATTTTATACTTTGTCTTTAGCACGGATAAATGTGATGTGACACATGCATGTATATTGTATGCAATATGCAAAAATACATTAGAAACATTATGGAAAGGCATTTTGGCGTTAACCTAAACCAGAAGAGTTGAATGTAGGTACACTCGTGGGCAGGTTGATGTTCGAGTACTCATCCACCGTGCTCCTATGGCTCAGCATTGGCAGCAGCCGCCTGGTACCGGTAGACTGTGCCGCTTCACTTACTTGTCAAGCGGCACAGCCTACCCACACTGTATGACACCGGTCTGGGTCGGTGGCTGGAAGGCGATGTGGGCCGCCTGTGACGTCAGCGCAGCGGTGAGGGCCGAGCCCGGAGGCATGGCTCGGGTCGGCGCGGCGCGGCGGCTGGCGAGGGCTGGGGAGTGAGGTGGGGTGGGAGCACGGACCATCGCGTGGCTGGGCGAGTGTGGTTAAGTTTCGCGTCTCCAGGTGCCAATTGTTCCACCTAACAATGGCGCTAAAGCATTTGTTAAAATACCCTAGCCCAAGACAGCGCCTATCATCACACTTGCTATGCGTATTACGACGCACTTAAGCGTGGCATTGTGACAGCCGACAGAACTAATGTCACACGTGCATCGAGGTGCGGAGCTACATTATTTATAACAAATAAGCGAAGGCCTTGATTGAGCTGCTTTGTGTCTATTGTTTCGCACAGCAATCGTCCAGAGACGTGGGAACTGGGGTTTTTGGATAGCGCGGCAGCTAACGCCCCAACTTAAAGCAAATCTTACTGTTCCTCTAATATGTGGTCGCATCCACCAATAGCAAACCATTCCAACAAGGGGCAAATAAGTCGCGCACCCAGGACGGTCCGAACCGGGCTTCACCAACCGGTCACCCTACGACGCCAGCGTTCATTCACTGAGCTACCGAGACCAGTGACCACCCTCCGCGGTCAAATGCGATCAAATGTCACACAACTGTCATTGGCGGTCAACGGGCGAATGTCATTTTGTTTTGTGCTGTTAGGGATCATTCTCGGTAGCTCAGTGGATGAACGCTCGTGTCGTAAAATGTCCGGTGGGAGGTGCCCGGTTCGAACTCTCCTGAGTGCCCGAATTATTTGCTCCTAGTTGAAACGGTTAGCTATTGGTGGCTGCGACCACATATTAGAGCAACAGTAATATTCACTTTAAATTGACCCATAATCCCCAGTTCCCACGTCTCTGGACGTTTGCTGTGCGAAACAATAGACACAAATCAGCTCAATCAAGGCATTAACACTTATATTTTATAAACAATGTAGCTCCGCACCTCGATGCACCTGTGACATAAGTTCTATCGGCTGTCCCAAGGTCATGCTTGTGACAATGTCATGTCATGTGTGTTCACACACATGACCCACGTGAAAATGTCATGCTTGTGCGTCGTAATGCGCATAGCAAGTAAATGATATAGGTGCTGTCTTGGGCATAGGGTATTTTAACAAATGCTTTAGCGCAATTGTTAGACCTGGAACAATTTGCGCCTGGAGACACGAAAGTTAACCACACTCGCCCAGCCGCGCGATGGTCCATGCTCCCACCCCACCTCACTCCCCAGCCCTCACCAGCCGCCGCGCCGCGCCGACCCGAGCCATGCCTCCGGGCTCGGCCCTCACCGCTGCGCTGACGTCACAGGCGGCCCACATTGCCTTCCAGCCACCGACCCAGACCGGTGTCATACGGTGTGGGTAGGCTGTGCCGCTTGACAAGTAAGTGAAGCGGCACAGTCTACCGGTACCAGGCGGCTGCTGCCAATGCTGAGCCATAGGAGCCCGGTGGATAAAAAGTAGGTACTCGAACATCAACCTGCCCACGAGTGTACCACTAACTAGGAGCTTAGCCCAGCGGCAGAGGACTGCATGCTGGCACCGTAATCGACAGCGTGATCGCCGTTTTTAGCACTTGTACTGATTCCATGACCAAACATCATTTGATGACATTACATTTTCGACAATATTGGACGCTACGGGAGAGAAGAATGCTCCAAATCGAGGTGCACTCCAGAAGTTTTAAGACTTTTTCACTAGGAGCATTCATTTATTTCAGAGAAGCATGGAACTTCAGTCACCCTCGAAATAGGACCTCCCGAGTTCCATGCACTTGTTGTAGCGCTTCAACCACATCCTGAAGGCCCGCTGGTTGGTAGTCCTTCAAAGTGAAGGTGTCCAGTGCCTTTGTCACAGCCTCTTTCATCTCCTTCTCATCCTCAAAACGGTGAGCCCTCAGCCCTGAGCTTTTCTTTCAGTGTGGGGGACATCCAGAAGCCACATGGGGCCTGATCTGGACTGTATGGGAGGATGAGGGACAGTTTTGATGCCCATCTGTGTCGGGTAGTCCGTCGCCATGATGGTCTTGTGGGCGGGTGCGTTGTCCTGGTGCAGCTTCCACTGGCCAGATTTGAATAGGTCTGGCCTCTTACGGCGAAATATCCTTATGAACTCCCTCAGAACCTCCACGTGTTTTTTATGTAATACTCATGTTTATTTTATACTGATTGATTAAGAGAGGTGCTTTAATTTAAGAATTTTTATTCTTTTGCACCAATCTTATAATATTTTTTTGTATGTTTTGCTCATTTGTAATGTTGAAAATAAATGTGTATGTGTATGTATGTATGTACGTAGTATTTCTTGTTGACTATTTAGCCGTGGGGGACACAGTTGATGAAGATGATGCCTTAGCCGTCAAAGAACGGGATCATTATGAGCTCCCCAGTGCACCTTCTCTGTCTGGGTTTCCTGGGTCTTGGGGAGTCAGTGCGCTTCCATTGAACACACTGTCTCTTGGTCTCTGGACCGTAAAAAATAAATCTAGCTTTCGTCACAGGTCACTAAAGAGTTAATTTGAAATGTTTCTGGGACATTTTTACCAAGCTAAACACAAAATTGTATTGCATAGCGACCCTCCAAGTTGTCTACACAATATCAGCCTGACTATGCTGCACACTGATCACTGTGACAAGCCGCGTGCGACTTGCGGTGTTCAGAGTGATGCCCTAGCCGTCTCTTGCAACGTAGAAAAACAAAATTAGGCAGGTACGTTTATGACAACTACGGTTATATCATATGAGAACGATAGTAATTTATTACTGTTTATATGGGTTCTAACTTCTGGAGTGGACGACGTACCCCTTCCCCGCCACCCCCGGGATCCGTCGGTGGAGTCAACTAGGCTACACCGCTAAGAAGTCGGATATTGTGCAGTCGGATATCGCGACTCTGTTACTCTAAGCCTGGCAACAAAGTTTGAAACATTATCCGAAGACTTTCAAAATCGTCTGAAACCATTTTCACTATCTCTTTGCCTGACTAGGTCTTTAAAATTCTTCCAAAGCTCTGTTGGTGGGCTCCGTTTTATTTCATCCTCACCTACCCTCCGACAGTCGTCTGAACTCTGAAGCCGCGGCGCCACCGCCGCAACAAGATACAAGTAACAAAGCATCTACATAGTTCGGCATAAATTAACAGCCCATCTCTGTTCCCGATCGTAAGTATAGCTTCACGCCGCGCTCAACAGATGGCAGCTCTCTCGCGCGCCACCACAATAAATATCCATTACAACCGCGCGTGGAATGCTGATAAAACGCACCTCTCACATTCAACACCGCACAGAACGCGCGCACAATAAACACACGCAAAGCAGTCACATTCCATAATCAATCACAGCGAAGTTGAGTACACGGCCTCCTGCTCCTAGACCGCTTCCTTATCTCGGACAGAGTTCTGCTGAATCGCCGCTAAAATCTCTGTGCGACGTCGCACGAACAGCTTGCCCCTCTTCCAGGGGTTCTGAAGCTGCAGCGGCCGAAAGTCATCCCTCAGACATCTCTCCCTCGCGCCAATCACTGCCACGAGGCAGAAGGTACGCAGCTGGTCGGCCGAGTACACAGGACCTTGACGACCCTTCAGTACCACAGCCATGTTCAGCTGCTTCACCACCAGATCCACCACCTCACGTGCGCACGTGCGAGGCGTTACGTGCAGTCGTACCGACGTTCCGGCCGCCAGTCCGGTCTCGTATGCCGCGAAAACCTGCAACACGCCCGGCGCCGCCGCCGACGCGTCGTCAGCCTCGTCGGCACTGACTGTGTCCGTTTCTGTGTCATTCGACGACAGACTCCTCGCGGAGGAGGCCAAACTGCTCGCGTCGCTGGGTGAGCGGTCTCCGCCACCACGCATGCGAAGCTGGCGAGTGGGTGGCGCCAGGCGCTCGCCAAAGCTGGGCGTTGAGCGACTGAGTGCCGCGTTCCACTGTCGCTCCACGTCCGCGTGGACGTACACATCGGGCGCAGAACTCTTCCGAAGGTCCGAGGCCACCGAAAGCAGTTGCGTCCCTCCAGTGCCTTCACCACCACTACCACCCACTCCCCCAACAATGCGGGCCGAGTTGGGAGGTCGGGGGCGAGACAGAGAGTCCTCGCTACTCGAGTCTTGGTAACCGAGCAGTGCGCGTCCCTCGTCACCAGCGCCTCGAGACTTGAGCAGGCACTCGGATGTGCGCGACTTTTGGAACTCTGGACGGGGTTTTAGCAGACGCTGAGAGCTGGATCTGTCGAAAGGGAGGGCCAATGGTCAGAAGATGGCAATAGCAACACCCGTTTTCTATGAAGTTATGCGGACTATACGGAGATTGAAGACAAGTTCAGTGGACACTGGGCAATGTCACTACTCACTTTATGATGTCACACAATTTTTGCTCAGTTTACAGAAGGATGAGAGGCAACATTACCCACATTACCCGCATTCATCCACTAGCCATGAAACTTGAAAGTGAAACTCCAAAAAAAGAGAATAATTGCCATGAAAGTAAAAATCAAATTCCAGCGCTATTTCAAGCGTTATCATTCCGCTATTCAAATCGCCACCTTTATTGTATCTGTCCCACAACCAGCGCCACCTTTATCAACTCCGTCATATCAACAGCGCCACCTATATCGCACCTGCGGAACTCGGCCGGGCTGGGCGCCGGCGGGGCCTCCTCCTTTCGCAGCCGTTTGGCGTCTCGAACGGGTGAGACGCTGACATCTCGGCCGTCCCAGGAGCGGAGCGCTGCCACCGAGAGAGGGCAACCCTCCTGCAGAAAGGAAATGAAGTCAGACGGGTCAGAACTAGAGTTGACAGAAACATGTCACTGACTAGCTTGTAATTCTACGGACGGCCTGCTGATCTGTGCAATCTACTGAATCTGTGTCAGCAATCTAAAGAAGGGCCGTCCGTGAATACAACAGCGGGCAGAGCCTGGCGGCGCGGACTGGTGTGACTCCCGTTACGCTCGCCTGGAGCGCCCGAATCGCTGCGGCACTTGCGGTGCGGCGAGCGGTATCGGCGGGTGTCAGCAGAACGCTGTTGGGCCCGGCAGACTGGCGGTAGCCGAGCACTCGCTCTTAGGAGAGCGTCTGGACTGGCAGGCGTGTCCGCTAAGACAGCCTGAGCCAGAGCCAGTGGCAAGGTCCGTGTCAGTATACCGGGTCCGACCAGGGGTACCGGCGTGGCTACAATCAGAGGCGTCTTTAAGGGCGTGTTGCCCACCTCGCTCGACCGTAGCTCGGTGCGACCTTGAAGGTCGGTTGTGCGTGTGTCTCTCCGTCGTCAGCCTTCAGCCCCCTCCGTCTTCCTTCGCCTCTCTTCTTCAAAGTCCTGCTCCGGTTAGAAGTCGAATGTATTTGCACACAATTGGGCGACCGTTGTACTAACAGAACCAAGTGGTAACGAATAGTGCGCATGCGCTATCATGTAGAACGGCGCACAGTTCCTGGAGGTCCACACGCGCAGTGGCGGACACATTAGGTACAGAGAATATATACACGATACAAACATATGACAACAAACATAAACCAACAAACATAACATATGTACACTACGCGATCGGGCACAGCTCGTCACTACACTGCCCCCTCCCTAGACGCGTCGCCGATGAAGGTGACGTGTCGAAATCGATCCGGTGGTCGTGACTCGCGTCCAGAGCGAGTGCGGAGAATCGATCTGGGCTGTGCTGCCGTGGTGATGTCCGTGGTCGATGCTGGCCGCGATGACGCTGCTGGTCGCGGTGTTGTCGGTCGTGTTGTTGGTGCTTCCGTTGGCGCCGGGCGTGGTGTTGGCGCTGCTGGCGGTGCAGGACGTGCGGCCGCCGGAGTGTCGTCATAGAGCAGGAGCTCCGGGCCGCCTGTCTGGGCGGCCGATGACTGCACGTCAGGTGCGCGCTGTGGCTGCTCCTGAGGTTGATCCGGCACCTCGTCCATGAAGGCGGGCTTGCAACGGTCGATGGTGATGACGTCGCGTCGCTGTCGCCGTTGGATGGTGATGGTCTTGTCTGTCCTGTTGATGACTGGGAACGGGCCGTCGTACGGTGCGTCCAGAGGGTAACGGTGGTCGTCCCGCCGAACGAAAACGTACTTTGCCGTCTTCAGCGCCTCCGGGACGTACGTGGCGCGCTTGGTTGTCCGTGGCAGAGTGGGTCGAAGCTGAGCCATGGCGCGTCGCAGGTCCTTGACGAAGGAGGCTGGTGATGCGTCTGCTGTGCGGCTGTTGTCGAAGAACTCGGCTGGGAGTCGCAGTGGAGAGCCGTATACCAGTTCAGCTGGGGACGCCTGCAGGTCGGTTTTGATGGTGGCGCGGATGCCCAGCATGACCAGCGGCAGCACGTCTGTCCACGAGGCAGCTTGGTGGGCACGGAGGCTGGCCTTCAGCTGACGGTGGAACCGCTCGACCATGCCGTTGCAGGCCGGGTGGTAGCTGGTTGTCCGAGTCCGCTGGCAGCCGAGGAACCGCTGAAGCTCCGACCAGAGGGCAGACTCGAACTGAGCGCCGCGGTCGGTGGTGATGATAGATGGAACACCGAACCTGGCGATCCAGTGCTCGAGGAAGGCTCGAGCCACCGTGGTGGTGCGAATGTCTGGCAGCGGGATGGCTTCTGGCCACCGAGTGAACCGGTCGACGCACGTCAGAAGGTACGAGTGGCCTCTTGATGGAGGCATCGGACCGACGAGGTCTACATGGACGTGGTCGAAGCGTTGCTGAGGCGGCTGGAAGGTGCCGACGTCGGACTTGGTGTGCCGGCCGATCTTGCAGCGCTGGCAGGCGAGGCAGGTTCGGGTCCAGCGGCGCACGTCACGATCCATACCGGGCCAGACGAACCGCTTGGAGACGATCTTGACGGTGGCCTCGACGCCAGGGTGCGACAGGTCGTGCAGAGCCTTGGCGAAGGGCCGGCGCAGCGCCTCTGGGAGGACCGGCCGAGGCGATCCGGTGGACTCGTCGCAGAGCAGACGGAGTCCATCGCCGACCGGGATGTGGCGCAGGCGCAGTGAGGTGTCTGAGGCCTCGAGTTCTTCCAGCGAGCCGTCTTCGGACTGGGCCTTGGCGATGGCAGTGAAGTCGGCGAGCGGGGGGCGCGGCTGGGCCACCATCGAGACCGTGCGCGACAGCGTGTCGGCGACCACGTTGTCTTTGCCAGGCACATGGCGGATGTCCGACACGAACTGGCCGATATAGTCAAGGTGGCGGACCTCTCGTGGTGAGTAGCGGTCGGACGAGGAGCCGACGGCCGTTACCAGCGGGCGGTGGTCCGTAAAGACAATTGCCGACCGGCCTTCGATCGAGTGCTTGAAATGTCGGACGGCCAGGTAGATGGCGAGCAGCTCGCGCCCGAACGTACTGTACTTCTTCTCTGCAGGTTGAAGCGTCTTGGAGAAGAAGCTTAGCGGCTGCCACTCGCCAGCTACGTGCTGTTGGAGGACGGCGCCCACTCCGCAGTCTGAGGCGTCGACGAAGAGGGCGAGCGGCGCGTCCGGGACCTGGTGCGCGAGGTGCGTCGCCGCGGCCAGGGCGTCCTTGATGTGTCGGAAGCGCTGGCGTGTCGCGTCCGTCCACGCGACGGGCGCTTTGGAGTTCTTGCCCTTGTTAGTGAGCAGGGCGTGCAGGGGCTGCAAGAGTTCGGCGGCCCGGTGGACGAAGCGGTGATAGTACGCCACCATCCCCAGGAACCTCCGCAGCTGGGACTGCGTGGTCGGCTCTGGAAAGTTCCTGATGGCTTCGACTCGTCCAGGCAGCGGGCGGACGCCGTCGGCGTCCACCGAGTGGCCGAGGAACACCACCTGCTGCTGACCCAGGACGCACTTGTGCCTGTTGACGACGACGCCGTAGGTGTTGAGGCGCTGAAGTACGTGGTCCAGGAGCTGCAGGTGGTGTTCGGCAGTCGGGCTGGCAAGCAGGATGTCGTCGAGGTAAACGAAGCAGCCCGGTATGCCGCGGAGGACCTCATCCATGAAACGCTGGAAGGTCTGTCCAGCGTTCCTGAGGCCGAATGGCATCCGGACGCATTCGTAGAGGCCGAACGGTGTAGTTATGGCGGTCTTGGCGACGTCGGCAGGTTCCACGGGTATCTGGTGAAACGCCTTCACCAAGTCGATCGTGCTGAAGACGGCACACCCGTGCAGGTCGGCCGAGAAGTCTCGCAGGTAGGGAAGCGGGTACCGGTCCGGCAGAGTGCGGGCGTTCAGCGCCCTGTAGTCCCCACAGGGGCGCCACTCGCCGGGAGACTTCTTGGGCGCCATGTGGAGAGGCGAGGCCCAGCTGCTGCTGGACGGGCGGATGGTGCCCTGCCGTAGCATCTTGTCGAATTCTGTTTTGGCGATGTGTGTCCGGTCTGGTCGCAGTCGCCGTGGCCGCTGGTGCACTGGCGGCCCGGTGGTGACGATATGGTGTGTCACACTGTGCTTGACTGGTGCCGGGCCGGGCGCTGGCGATGTTACGTCCGGGTAGCGGGCGAGGACGGCGGCATAGCGAGCAGCAGCCTGCTCGTGGATGAGGCGCACGCCGATGGAGCACAGTCGTGACCGCTGGGCGCTGGCGCACACGGTGCCGTCTCGCAGGAGGCGTTGGCTGGCGACGTCGACGACGAGCTGGTGTGCGGCCAAGAAGTCGGTGCCCAGGATCGGTGTGGTGACATCGGTGATAAAAAATCGGTGCTTCAGGCTGTGATGGCGGCTTAACGTGACGTCCAGCAGACAGGTGCCGTAGACGGCGATTGGCGAGCCGTTTGCCGCGACGAGCTGCTGGCCGGCAGGAGCAGGGGTCAGCGTGGACTTCTTGGGTAGGCAGCGGCGTGGCAGCACGCTGACCTGCGCTCCGGTGTCAATCAGAAATTGATGATTGGTCTTCGTGTCACGCACGAAGAGGAGCGGCGCGGCGGTGGGAAGTGCGCCCGCGCATTGCGCCAAGAGCGCGGGGCCGCCTAGTTTTCCGCCCAACTGCATGGCGATTCGCAGCGGCGTGCCCTGTTGCCGAACCGCTGATGGTACCAGCAGAGGTCGTCTTCGTTCGTCGGCGTCGGAGAGCGCGCTGGTGTCGGCGGCCGTGATGAGCTAGGCGCCCGTCGTCGGCGGGATTGGCTCCGGCCACGATCCCGTCGGAGCGCGTCTTGTAGGCGCCGGTTGCTGGCCTCGAGGCCTCGGTGGCTGGCCTGGAGGCTGTCCATCTTGGCGACTAAGGTCGCTACGACGGCCTCTAGTCCGGCTGAAGGTTGAGCCGGTGCCGGTGTCGCAGGCTGCGGCGGCGGGGCGGTGACGACCGCTACCCTCTGGTCCGGTCCGCTGGCGTCCAGGTAGCGGTCTGCCGCTTCTGCCAGCGCGTCCAGTGCGCTGTCGGCCGGCAGTAGGGCCAGGGCAGCGCGGACGGGCTGCGGCAGACGTTGTTTGAAGAGTGTCCGGAACAGCTCCGTGTCCACGGGAGCGTCCCCGGCGGCGGCCAGCTCGTTCCTCATGGAACGGAGGAGCGCCGTCGGCTTTTGGTCGCCGAGCTGCTGTCGGCTGAGTAGCGACTGCAGCCTGTCGGCCCGGGATTGCGCAAGGCGAGACTTCAGCGCGTCGCACAGGGCGGTGAATGACCTTGATGTCCTTATCACGTCCTTGACCTGGACGGCGATAGTCGCTGGCAGGTTGGCGACTAGAAGTTTGTACCGGAGCTCGTCGGAGCTTACGCCGCTGATGTCGAACGCGCATTCGACCTGTAGGAGCCATAGATCGGGCTCTTCTGGCGTATATGGCGGCAGGCGGAACGAAGCTAGCGGCCGTTGAGCGGTCTCAGCTGGAGGCCCGTTGGACACAGTCGCGGGAGGGGCGCCCCGCGGTGCTGCGTTGTCCAACTCCGTGGCGTCCGGCATGACTGGGTTGGAGTATCACGTCGGGGTCACCAGTGTAATTCTACGGACGGCCTGCTGATCTGTGCAATCTACTGAATCTGTGTCAGCAATCTAAAGAAGGGCCGTCCGTGAATACAACAGCGGGCAGAGCCTGGCGGCGCGGACTGGTGTGACTCCCGTTACGCTCGCCTGGAGCGCCCGAATCGCTGCGGCACTTGCGGTGCGGCGAGCGGTATCGGCGGGTGTCAGCAGAACGCTGTTGGGCCCGGCAGACTGGCGGTAGCCGAGCACTCGCTCTTAGGAGAGCGTCTGGACTGGCAGGCGTGTCCGCTAAGACAGCCTGAGCCAGAGCCAGTGGCAAGGTCCGTGTCAGTATACCGGGTCCGACCAGGGGTACCGGCGTGGCTACAATCAGAGGCGTCTTTAAGGGCGTGTTGCCCACCTCGCTCGACCGTAGCTCGGTGCGACCTTGAAGGTCGGTTGTGCGTGTGTCTCTCCGTCGTCAGCCTTCAGCCCCCTCCGTCTTCCTTCGCCTCTCTTCTTCAAAGTCCTGCTCCGGTTAGAAGTCGAATGTATTTGCACACAATTGGGCGACCGTTGTACTAACAGAACCAAGTGGTAACGAATAGTGCGCATGCGCTATCATGTAGAACGGCGCACAGTTCCTGGAGGTCCACACGCGCAGTGGCGGACACATTAGGTACAGAGAATATATACACGATACAAACATATGACAACAAACATAAACCAACAAACATAACATATGTACACTACGCGATCGGGCACAGCTCGTCACTACAAGCTTGTGGTTAAAAATGGGCACGCCTGTTTGAGCAAAATAGCATTGCGAACTTTTTTAAAAACGTGATCAATATAAAACTAATAACAAAAAAATGATGCATATCAAACCATTTCCTCGGTCTTATCTGTTTTAGGGGCATTGGAAGCTTCCTTGTTAAACATAAGGGATTTTTTTGTTACAAAAAATACAAATACTATGAAGTTTTCCCAAAAGCGCAGTTCGCCAAATAATTTTCCCATCTTTCTTCTCTATGCCAGGAGGCAGCAGCCCATAGCCATCATCCCATGCCATCCCCCCGCGATCCGTACCTGCGTCTTATCCCTGGCCCAGGCGATGGCGTCTGTGAGCCAGCGAGAGGTCCTCCACACACCCTCCAGTTCCGTCTGGAAGGTCTGCAGCTGCGAGAGACGGCCCCGCGCCTCGCTGATCTCGGCGTCACTGAATGCCTGGTGGAGAAGAGGGGATACTGTCACTGTCCCGACAATCCTCTTGGATAGTTCCATGGCGATGTTTTTTTTTTTTATTGACAGCGATCACAAGAAAATGAGGCATGTAAAACATGACACGTCGGATATAAATATAAAAACTACACTTCAGGTCAAGTTAGCCTCCAATATCCCACGTGGAACGATGTACGTAACTCCAGTGTAACTAGAAGATAAATGCAACCGAGAGAAAGGTTGAGACTGAGATTATTGGAGGATGACACAATACCAAATTACTAAGGCAGAACCCTCCAAATGCCCCACATCTCAGTCATCTTTAGAACCCTTCCCGAGCCGACAATTACGGCGCTTGTTCGTACCTCTCTGTGAGCGTGCTGCGCCATGATGGTATCCGTCTCCAGGATGGAGCTGATGCGACTGTAGCGGCTCACGAAAGAGCGCTGGTAGGTCATCATGTGTACCATCTCGAAAATCTGCAAACACCGGAGTCTATGTGAGCGACAGCGCAGTGAGAAAAGTGAACAAACGAATGACACTGTCCGAATAGCAGCATCGTAGTGAGGAGATCGACAGCGTAGGCGATGCCAGCTGCCAATCATGTCTACCGATAGGCGTTATCACAAGTGTATTCGCGGCCATTGGGGCGACATAAGAAAAGAAGAAACCAACTGGCCCCAAGAAATTTAAATTATCAGTTAGCATGCATTTTTCCTTGATGTGTAGAGAATTTACCATTACATATTTGTTACAGAAAATTGCATTTAAAATCTTCCATTTATGCTTTTTTCATCGTTTGCACAATATGTTCTTTTACTAAGCTAGAAACACTAATTAGAAGTAGTTCCCGCATCATCAAGAACAATAAGGAAGGCTTGAAGTGAATAAAATAATTTAAACGGTTTTGTAATCTATGTGAAGGCACTTCTAAAATTGCCTGTAGAAATATTGAAGGCAAAAGTTCAACTTTTTCACAAGACGGATGTCTATAAACCTATTTAACTTGTGACAACTCAGCCGGTATTTCGTCGCCTACAGCCCAGCTTTCCCTAGTGACCGATAGAGGCGCTGCTATCGATGTCCGCCCGTGCCGCCTAACGCGTGGGAGAAGCGCCTCTGTCTAGCGCTACGACGTAATGGCGCAGAAAACACCCAACACTGCCAAATCTCAACATGATAAACAGTACCTAAATTATACCTTATTTTATGCACATCACCATCACTATCCCAACAAATCCATTCACCACATACCTGGACGGGCAGGCGGAGGCAGTCGTTGGGCGCCGTCAGCTCCTCCGTCTGTTTGATCGAGCACACCTGATCAGCAGCCGGTACCAGCAGCAGGAAACTGGTGGTGCCGTTCAGCTCCAGCACCTCGGCGTTGTACAGCCTGTTCAGAAAGAATGGAGTTGTTAGGACAGCACCTCGGCGTTATACAGCCTGCCCAGAAAGAATGGAGTTGTTAGGACAGCACCTCGGCGTTGTGTAGCCTGCCCAGAAAGAATGGAGTTGTTAGGACAGCACCTCGGCGTTATACAGCCTGCCCAGAAAGAATGGAGTTGTTAGGACAGCACCTCGGCGTTGTACAGCCTGTCCAGAAAGAACTCCGGAGTTGTTAGGACTTTAGTATTGGATAGTGGGCGCATGCATGGACTACAAAACCTTCACTTTGTGCATATATTGTCGGCTGGAGAGGCGGTGAGAGTGGCAGAAGACCTACTGGTGCAGCCTACCGGGAGAATCCTATGGAAAGTTTAGCAGTTCAGCGTTCTATAATCCACAATGGCACAAGCCTGACCCGGGGAACGGAGTAGGAGCTATAGCAATGCCGTACTGTACAGCCTGTCCGGAAGAAGGGAGCAAAATCTTAAGGACCTCCACATTTGACAGGTTTTCGGGGAAAAGAGGGGAAAATGATTAAATTGATTGTGTCTCACTTCCTCAACTGTGATTTGCCGCTCCTTCATTCTCCCCTCCCCTGATTGACTGCCCAGTACCCACCCTCCTTCCTCACTTGAAATTGGTCACTCCCCATCCTCCTCTCCCCTAATTGGTCGCCACCCCGCCTTTCTAACCTGTGATTGGCCGCCTGTTCCGCGGGAACGTCCATCAGTTTGAGCAGCCGCCGTACCGCTGTCTCCACCTGGGTCCTGAACCGTGACGTCACACTCAAGCTGGATGACGTCACGCCGGGTGTGACGTCACCGTCCTCCTCGGAGGTCGGCGGCCGGTAGGAGGAGCTCTCCTGGAGCCACTCCCACTCCTCACTGAAAAGACACCACAGAAACGCTGGGTTACCACTGTGCCATAGACAGCAAATGCTAGAGTCAATTGAGAGGGATACAATGCGAGAGTCAAACATGCGAGAGATATCTGCATGACGACCAAGTAAGATGAGTTGAGCGATTAGGTTAATAGCAGTAGATGTCAATCAAATTTTAAGATTAACGTTTATTACGGAGCGAGCGAAGCGAGCGTAGTCTTTCCTTAGATTAACGGAAATTTCTGAGTATGAGCGGCCGGCCGGCCGGCCGGCCGGCCGTAGTCACGCTTTTGCGAGGCTTATATCTCAGCAACCACTTGACCGATTTACATGCGGTAATTTTTGTAGGGTAGCTTCATCTCTTCTACCAAGTATTGCACTATTCCCGATGCATGTGGGTGACCCCTTATGCACGTGCCACGTGCAAAACCAAGAGGTGTCACTTTTGTAATTGTTACAATATCTCGGTAACTACTGGGCCGATTGCGCTGAGAGTTGGCATGTAGGTAGGCACCCACTAGGCAATGCATATCCATGTGCCAGAGTTGGGGTGCTGCTGCACGTGCGCACGTGCAGGGGTCGTTTCCAGATCTCGAGAACGGCTGGACCGATTGCGCTCAAATTTGGTACACGGTTACGGAGCAGTTAGTAGGGTGCCGTGCACAAGTCAGTTGGGACCCATTTTGCACGTGCGCACGTGCAGGGTGCCGCTTCCAGATCTCGAGAACGGCTTGGCCGATTGTGCTCAAATTTGGCACATCGCTAGAGACCGGTTAGTAAGGTGCCGTGCACAAGTCAGTTGGAGGTACCCCCTCGCAATTTCGCACGTGCAAGGCCCACCCTCTCGCTCGCTCCGTTAGTCGCCACAAAAGGCGTTATACTGGTACTTGCACAACAAGTGTGGGAAAGTTATCACAATACATTCACTCACTGGATGTAGTGACTAGTGAGCCTTTGCAAAAATAATACAAAGACCCTTCAATAAGTACACCACTTATTTATACTTCTATCATCGATCTGTTTGGCGTTCATATTTATCAGTAACCACCAGACTGAGCTCCCGTACAAACAAGCCTCTTCACCTTCCACTAACTCTTCCACTAACTCAACACTAAATCTCCCCACGTATTCCAGCGACCAGCACATCCACCGTCTCACCTGCTGACGTGCGGGTTGTCTCTGACGCGCACGTGCGGCAGGACATTCGGCTTGTCCTTGGACACGCTGACCCGTATGATGTCGACTGACGTCTGACATTGCAGGTAGCCGAGGTAGAGTCCCCGGGACACGCCGACCGAGGAGACCATGTGGTACGTGATGATGTCCTGGTGGAGGGAGAGGTTGCTGTCAGTGTGCTGCAAGTTTGAGGTTATAGAGATGACGAGAAGAGAGAGCGATGTTATCTGTATTTTTCGAGGTTCGCTATTTTGAATGAATTTGGAGCTTAGACCAAAATGAGCGAGCGACTTTGGAAGGTAGCTCATCCTGCAATTATAGCGCTACTTACACGGTACATCAGCTATTGATCAGGCTCAAAAAGACAAAAACAGCAGCGATGAATTCGCGCAGACACATTGCCTAAATTATTTGTGTTAACTATGTGCCGGATGCCAAATTGGTATTTCCAAGCATGACATTTCTCACAGCTAATCGCTTGCGATAAGACCCCACTAGCTTTCCCTACCTATCCCCGACACCAAATGTCTCACCACCAGATGTCTCTGTCGCCTCACCTTGATCTCAGAGATGAGACTCTCGCCGACAGTCGGCTCTTCCTCCGACGTGGAGACCTTCCTTTGCAGCTTGTTCACCTGCTGCCACCTAACAGAGGCCGACGGAAGCTTGCCCGACCTGGCGACGAGAAGTGACAATGTGAATGGTTAGCGATAAGGGCTACAGTGAATACCTACACTATGGGGGCGATGAAGCAGAGCCAGTGAGAACACTTTTCAGATTGAGTGTGACGACTGATGATGTTATATGCAATTTAAATGTGGAATGACGTGAAAACAAAAATTACGATACGCTGTTTTGATTGGTAAATTCATGCTATCTGACCCTAATAATCCACCGGTGCACTTAATTATTTTGACATGCTTCTAAAGCGTCACCTAAAACAATCCTACTACTGATAATCTTTCCTTGTTTGTTGTGTCTAATGGGTACCAGTGCGTAAAAGCAACAATGATACGACTATCAGCGACGCTTCAAAGCGATAGTGGCTCGCCGCTCAACGATTTGGTTTATTTAACCACGGATATTGAGTCTAGCTTATTCTGCTACGATAGCTATGCAAACACCGCTACCTTTAGTGCGGTACCGTTGAAGCATACCAGACTCATACGTCCTATACTTTGTTATGTTTATTCACATACATGATACAAACGTCCTCAGCATTCGTCGCGTCTACTATGCTTTTCAGACCCCATGAGACCCTAATTTTCGGCGATAATTTATTTACTATTTGTCCAATTTGCTTCAAATTTTCACAGTGCACATTTCAGCTCAAGCGCCAATTTTCGCCAATATGATCTCTTAACAAAATATCAAATTTTAGGGTACTTGTCGTTGCCTCGTAATGTTAAAATCGGCTTCGTAAATCCGTCAGTGGAGTAGAGGCTATCCAAGCGTAGGTGTGACGTCACAAACACGTGACCATTAAGCTCCGCCCTCCCGGCGGACGGGGTAGTGACCTTGGCCGGTCAGTCGGCTGCGTGGAGCGGGCGGGGCAGTAGCTGTCGCACCGGGGCGGCTCGCATGGACCGTAGCTGCCGTGCAGTTGTCGTTGCAGCCGTAATTTCATCGAATGAGCTAAATAGCGCGCATGTAACGCACCAGCTGAAGCCCTCGACTAATTGTATCTATCACAAATGTACGTACACCTTGTTCAGTCACAAAAAATATATATTTCCACACAAGATTCGGGGCTTGTGAAAAAAACGCGCATAAAAGACGCGTTGATTTCAAATGATTGCGTAAGATTATGTATCGCGTCAGACTACGTCAAAATTGCAAAACAGCATCTTAACATGATGCAATTTATGTGTTTGATATATGAAATTTGATTAGGAATGTATGCCGGCGTGATCGATTTATATCATCCCGGTGCAACTAAGCATTGAACACCTTCAGGACTAATCCATTTGATCATCGACTTAGGTTGAGGAGGTCGCCAGACTAACTTTGCCCCCAGAGCTTGTGTGTTGAAATGCAAACATGAAAAGTAAAGCCTAGAGATAGTTTCCTCACCATTGAGGACATACCTACTGTTACTTAAGTTTTACAAAAAAGATACGAGTTTATTGATGACCGTTCTCGTGTAGTGCCCAACGTCCGCCTGCTGCACATTGCTATTTCTTTTTGTGCACGTCTTAACAAATAACACACACATGACACCGCGATAATGGGACCGTATTAGCGCCGGCGAAAATCACGGGACATTAGTGAAAGGGCAGACTGCGGCGACCCCTAGGTTGATGAACAGCTAGGGAGAACAACATTCGACAGATGGCAGCACTAGACGAGATAATCAGGCAATACTTTAATATTAATGGGAAAGGAAATAATGCCAATGTTTGCCCTCACCAAGCATGTTACAACGACAATGGAATTATTAGGTATAATAAATATGTGAGTAGCAAATCCAACAAAAAACAAAATCCGTGAAAGAAAGGCAACGCTGGAAAACATCACCATAGTTTTCCGACGCCGAAAGAGTTCCTGCACACCGGCATCAGCGAGAGAAAAAAACCTAGGATCCAACAGACCCGCCCACCACCCCACCATCACCACATTCCTTCCCCAGTCTCCTTCCCCTCCGCTCGGTGTCTTTCAGCTACACAAGAAGGAATCGGCAGACACAGACACCTGGGCGAGCGAGGAGGGGAAGTCGAGACCGTGTTGCCGCCAAAAAAAGAGAAAACAACCAAGGTAGGTGGTAGGTAGGGGAAAGTGGGGTAAGACGGTCAGGGTAGGTAAGACGGGCACCCCTTCTGCAGACCAAACCAATAGCGCTACGAGCAAGAAAAGTTAGGACCAGAATTGCCTTTCCCACTACACACCACCATTCAAGTCTGGTGAATTTGTGTTCAGTCGATAATCTTTTATTTTGATTTCTTTAAAACACTCATTTCATTGAAAACATCCATAATGTATTGTGCAAGCTTTTGTGTACAGCACTATAGAGTTAAAAACTCGCAATCACTTGTGGTACACTCATATGCCAACAGTGTTCATTTACGGCGGATTTGCTTTGTCTGCATCAAATTGTCCACAGCGAAAAATCGTGCTGAACTTCTGACATTGAGTTTGGGGTAAGACGGGCAACTATGAACCCAATGGGTCTGTAATGGTGAAAATATTTTTGTTGCTGTAGGAAAAAAGAAGCATTTCTAATAAGAATATGTTCGATTCCGATACTCACAGACATGTTAGCAATATTCCTTCGGCACAGTTTATTCTCGAATAATGAATGTGAAAAACGGTTCTACATGGCTTCTGAACTAGGGCCTATATAGGAGCATACGCCTTCTGCACGAATCTCGTATACTGCCATTTCCGAAGCACTTGAGACCAACGAGCGACTGTATAAATGCGGCTAATCTCGGGCATTTGTTGCGAGCTGCGCTGATCGGTGAAAGAAGCTGGCCGTCTTGCCCTACCCATGTGACCGTCTTACCCCATGGGGTGGGGTAAGACGGGTTTTTGCAAGGTTTTGCAAAAATAGCTGCAGTTTATTTGTTGAATCAGGTCTAAGTCTCATCTTCTGGCAAATGAAAGTAAAATGTCTGAAAAAGGTTTTCACCCAGTTTCCCGTTTCTATGATGTTTCTAACCGGCCGAAAAATGGCTCCAAAGTTAAGGTGCCCGTCTTACCCCACTTTCCCCTAACTACACCTGCGCTATCTACATCAGCTGCCCGCATGACACTAAAGGCCATTTCTACCATACGACACATTATGCTTCTGCCCCACCCGGCGCCCCGCACCGCTTCACGAATCACGAATACGGTCGTTTCGCTGGAGCGATGCCCCAGGCAATCGGCCGTGCCCGAGACTCTTCATCCTACTTTGTTGCTTTCTGCGCCTTCCTCAGAAACATTTATTGGCACTGCCAAATATATCAATATTTTTGGGTTAAGCACAGGCTTACACATGATCTTATAGGTAATCGGGTAGTGACCTGACCCAACCTGACGATGAGATAGGTGCAACTCCAGCTTAAATAAATGTTCAGAGTCCAAGAGTCTATCCACCTTTCCTTCTACGGCCGGTCCCGTTCCAATAGATCCTACCTTGATTCTGATCCTTCTGAATATTCTGAGCTGGTTCGACGTTTAAGTACCAAAATAAGGTGAAGAGGATACCAAATGCCCTCAAACGGATAATTTTTTGGCTTTCGTCCCGAAACAACTTTGCCAGCTTCACTTGTCTCCAGTATGTGGTCCCGCTCCGACCTCTCCGCGGTGCTGACACCGACTGAAGCGGCATAGACCCATCGCGGTCACGGCCAGTGGGCGGAGTTTAGTTGGGCCCGGCGCAACGTGATTGGCCAGCGCTCCTATCCAATCCGGTGCGGTAGCGAGCGAGCCTCTATCCGAGTGCAAAAACTGATTAACATTACGAGCCAACGACAAGTGCTCTAAATTTTGATATTTTGTTAAGAGACCATATTGACAAAAATTGGCGCTTGAGCTGAAATATCGTCTGCCAAAATTTCAAGCTAATTGGACAAAAATTGAAGAAATTATCGCCGAAAAGCAGGGTCTCATGGGGTCTGAAATGCATAGTAGTGTCTACTGTCTACTCCACACGACATACACAGTGGGGTACTTCGTCTCCCTCCAACCCTCCATCTCCTTCACTGACCTCATGTGGTAGATGACGACGAACACCAGGGTGCCATGGCTGTCCCGCAGCGGTTTGAAGTACAGCTGACCCAGGTCCTGAACACCCAGAGCCGACTGTAGAGAGGTAGAGACGGGGTGTTAAGGCTTAGGACGGTGTGATGTAGGTATTGCAGTTACAGTTGGATAAAAATTAACTTTATTTGTAAATGCTAAGAAAATATGGTTTGAATTGAAACCATATACATGCATCATTTCAAGGCTCTAAATATTCTAATTCCATACATTATAGCGGGTGTTTGCTTGAAAACATAAAACCTGGCAAATGACAACCACTAAAATAATCATGGTATAATTCAAATGCGCATTACGATCCTCCCAGTCCAGTTAATCAACAAACTCACAACTATTCGTCGCCTCCCAAGCCAATTGCCATCAAAATTACATCCAATCCTCCCAGCCTTGCCAATCATTACCGTCCTTACAGCTAGCTTACAGTCAAACATATCGTCCATCTCAGCCAGACATCACCAACCTGCAGCTGCTCGGCGGCGGCCAGCAGTTTGATACGGAAGTGGACAGACGAGGAGCTCAGAGATCTCTCCATGTCCTGGCGCAGTGACCGGACGTCGTCCCACGTGCAGGCCACCTGACCGGTCACAGGTTAACGGTCAATGATTGCATGAGTCAAGTTTGAGTTATCGACGAGACACGATGAGCCATGGATCACGGCTAAGTATGGGATGAGTCGCTTTCAGGTCAGATACCAGTCACTGGTCAGTGGTCACAGTAAACATCCACAATTAGTTGGAGGATGGGAGCTAAGGACACGTTCGAGCAGTCTAAATAAGCAGGCAATTCGTTCGAATTCAGGCCAGTTCCCAAGCACACGGTCCAGCGTCGGCTTCTAGCATCGAATGTCATACGAGCAATAATGCTGGATAATAGGAGCAGGGACCTTTCACGCCCGGCCGTTAAGCTTGGTCACTAGACACGAACAAGAGGTGTTCCTACAGTTATCCCATTTTATGCAGCCGGCTTTGGAAGTTAGTATGTGCTAGTGCCCTTTGAAAGTGTCTACTATACCATCTGTGATTAGAAAAAGATACGCATATATCTCCAAACAAACACAAGTCTAGGGTCAGCCCCTCTGACTCATGTCAGCTCAATGAAAGCCGCTACGACAGGTCAGCGACCCATGATATCATCCTGTAGCGCCCTCCGTTTACTCTGTGCCTACTCGACTGGTTAAAAACCATAACACGTCCAAAGTAAACAGCATTTAGCGGTGACCCGTCTCTTAAAAGATGCCGCGTCTAGATAAGGAACGTACGATTTAGAGAGGAGCTTTTAAACGTTGAAGCTAATCGTCTGTCAGCAGATGATCGTTTATGATGATTATGTTTCATAAACGTCATTACGTCATTGAATTAGAATATCACGGTACGAGGGTCTATCATAATCAAGTTTAGTTGTGACGTTATGGTTGAGCTGAGAAGCATAGAAGATAAGAAGAGAAATTTTGAATGATATTCTCGAACGGTGATAAGATTCTACCGTCTTCGCTTTTATTTTCTCACCTTCATTAGCCAATGAAAGTCGGCGTGAATGGAGCTCGGGTAGGACTCATCCACTTCCAGGACCGGTAGAAAGTCCTCGGTTGTCATGGCAACACGGTCCTCGTGGTAGATGACGCTAGCCAGGTACACGCCGCTGCAAGATAAGAAAGCCAGTCAAAATCACGCTCGCAACCAGGGCATGTTGAATGAGGCTGCATCATTGAAAAGCAATCTGAAACTTGTGATGAAAGAAATTATGGCAAACCTAGTGCAACTGAGTAAGAGATTGTCCTCATTCGACATAGCCAAATAAAGCTTGAAATCTAGCATGCCATCAGTCACTCAGAAATCATAGCGAAAAGACGACCGATGTCCCCAACCTAAAAAATAGCCCATGCCTGTGACAAATTAGACAAAAATGTGCTTGGTTCGTTCAGCTTTTCCCTTCACAAACGGGGCGGCTCGGTCGCCCCTAGCAGCCATTTGCTAGGGCGTATTCCCCGCGGTCCTGTTCGGGCCATGTCGTCTCTGCAATGAGCGCTATAAAACCATGTCGTTGAGTGAAACTGGTCCCAGAGGACGACCCTGCAAACCCTCCAAGACGCGAGTGTTTTCAGGAGACTGCAGGGTCATGCCAGTGGGGCAGGGGTCAAAATGCGTCCCCGTGTTTCATCAGCAACTGTTGATTCGGAGAATACGATTCATTTCCGTTCTAGGATTGTCCTGAATGAATTGCGCCACGTTTAGAGAAGCTATAAATTTTATTTCGTCAGCTAAGTCGAAGGAGATGAATAGCACGTGTTTGATTGTCGCGCTGGTAACATTTAGAGTGGGAAATGCATCAGTCACTTGACAGACTGAGATTACTTTGGAGTACGCAGTCCGCAAAGCTGTCACAATAAACCGAAAGCGTTCCCGCACATTTTGACAAATAATTCTTCTTCCATTTTCATGATAGTGTGATTATTATTCGGTTATTTATATCAAAGAGCATTGGACGACAAAACTTAAGAATGCTTAGGAAACTTGGGATAAAAACTTAGGAACGTTGAGGAGAGAGCAAATGAATGCGAAAAATGCTCGGAAATAATTCATGCTAATCAATAGATGTCTAGCCATTTACTTTCATTATAATCTTTTATTAGATTTTCAAGAAATAGCGTTCCTAAATGGTACATGCTGATTCTCACCTTCTGAGATGTTTCTGGAACTTGATGGCCGTCTGGAAGAGGTTCTTGATACTCTTCTTCTTGATGTTCTTCCGCGCCATAGGTGACTCGCTCTGGCCGTCCAGATTTCTGAGGTCACTGGCGTACTGAGGCCGGGAGTCACGGATCTGGGTAAAGAGCCGGTCTAGAGCTGCCACTTTTCCGCTCAGACGGGACATACGCTGGTCGGCGTCCCTCCATACTGAAAAGGAGAGAGAAACCACTGTTAGAAGATGGTAGACATGTGTGTTTCGGCTTTCAGAAGATCTACCAGAGAAATGCCACTGTTCAACATTTGATTCGGCTTGTTTGTTCTTTACAAGAAGCTAAGCTCATGGCTCCAAAACTAAAATAACTAATTCATTTTTCTTAAAAAAAAATGGCTTCGTTCCAAACCCCACTTGTGCCCATTCGAAGTATGAAACTTACTACATCATCACCTTCAGCTAAAATCCCCTACGAATGGCTGTCATAATAGATCACCGTTCCCTGCTTCTATCCTCAGGATACAGAAATCCTTCTCCTCCACGCCGCAACCCCCCTCCGGGCTGGACAGGCAACTTTATCTCATGCGGGCTGCTCCCTTGGAGCGGCACCGCTGCTCCCGAGGGAGCCCACCCCGTAGCCGGGTGCAGTGAGTGCCTTGGGGCTGGGTGGCCTGTCCTCTGGACGGGCTCAGCCCCGGCGACTCACTAGGGTGCCTGCCCAGACCAATGTCTCCCCCTATATCCTATCATCCTCCCGGCCCTGAAATGGTCCCATTGGACCGAAAGGGCCTAACCCAACAAAACAAAAACAAAAAACAAAAAACATAATAGATAAAAACATGGACAAGTGGCCTAAATCAATCTTCCCTCTACCAGTACCAACAACGTTTTTTCTTCGTCCAGTCACGCTGCAACCCTGATGCAACTCGACGCTCCCAAGAACCCGCTCAGCCCACCCCATCCACCTCTGCACCAGCACGAGCCACAGCACAAACAACATGTCGATACATCAGCGGGGAACAGCTGATGCAAGAGACCAACCAGGCCCGTTCCGCCCCCTACCCAATGCTGAGGTCGCTCACGCTCATGTCATAGAATACTTGCGTGATACGACAGGAGTGTGATCATAGCTGGGGCGCCTGATTGACGCGATTGTTGACAGAGCTTTGTGATTGCTATTCGATGAGTTTACCACGCCAGAGTTGTAGCAAAAGTGTCAAAAAGTGGACAGATCAAGGTAGATGAATCTATAGCGAGCCTGAGAACGGTTTTCTGGATTTATGAACGAGGGCAGGCAGCAGGGGTTACACTTCTTATTAGAGCTCTGAGCTATTGATCCATCGAAGCTAAGATAAGTGGTCTGTTTAGCAATACCACCTATGCTTCTCAGTTCTCACGAATAACATGGAATTTGGTCCTGGAATGGTTCACATCAAACATAAAAGAGTTTAGACTCATAAACTGAGACTTCTGACTCATTAAAACCCACTGTGTCTAGAACACAACCAAGTTATTCTATTCCTGTGCCCGATAAAACTTTGATAGGTCATCGAATCCAGATACTAAGCAGTGAGTCAAATTTAGGCACATTTACCCTTCAGAGCTGAGCAATATCCGTTCAGCAGACATACAACAGCTTGAAGGGCGCGTGGGCCTCAAACACCCACTCAACAATGCTTATCGTGTTCAATGCGCTGCAATAACCCGGTTACTTGATACCCATGCGGGCGGTATACCAACGAAATGGGCTATTTTACTGACCACATCAGCCCATGGTCGACCTCTTCTGTCCATATCGATGGATACGCTATGCATCCGACTCCGCTGTTCCAAGAAAGCTTTTCAGTTGGCCTGGCTTGATGGATTGAAAGTCGAGCACAAAAGAGCACACACTCAACGCCAGTCTAGCATGCTCGTCTTGGGGAATTTTTGGTGGAATAAATGTCTGGCTGGAGTGGCTCTGCTGAACTTCATGTTGGAATGTTGAAAGCATGACGTTTTTGCGACTGTTTTGGAATACAAGCGTCAATCTAATGTCAAAAGAAAATAAAACACATTTCTGCTTCAAAGACGTCATGGTAAAAGAGTTTGTTTAATCTGACTGTAGCATACATTGGGCATAATCCGCCTTCTCTGTTTGAGAAAATCGACCACAGTAACGGGGTGCCATGGCAGCAGACCGAAGCATATCGAGATTCATGAGTTTCTGTCACAGAACTCCAGTGGTAAGGATAACAGCGGGCAATGGGAGTTCGCAGAGAACCTCAATTTAGCGGTCTACACCAGAACGAGGAGCATGTTCAGTGTTTGTCGTTCCCTAGTGAGCTAAAACCACCAAAGATGCAAAGGTGTTTGCACGGCATTGACTTAAATTTCCATCTTATAACACCCTGCGGCCTGCACAAGCACACTTTGGCGAAACATTTCGTGTCGCATTCAACAAATTATCTCTTTTTTTTTGTGTGTGACAGAATACCGGTCAAGGGCGTCCCTCGGTTTTGTAGCATCAAATTATAACGAAAAGAAATGAATACAATGATCACGAACAAAACGCGAATGACTTTTATGCGGGGTAAAAAAGTCTGGCAGTATCAAGATGAATCTGACCATCGACACATCGCGATATTTATGCCGCTAATTTGTTTTTAAGAAAATAGCGTAGGTTCAAGACGTAGCGCTGATATATCGTAAACGCTGGCCGAAGGGCACCTGAATCTCTCAAACGCAACCCACAGACCTTCGTCATGCTCAGTTACATCAGCGTCACCGTCAATGAACGAGATTCACACCTCCCGGCAAATTTACCAGCTCATTGGCGATTACGCGGCGGGTAAAGAAGTGTAACGGCTCGTGTTAAAATTACTGCACTTGTGGCCAGTGCGAAACTGTAATGGCGGTGAATTTTCACGAACCAGAGGACGTGTGTAGCGTGATGGTTCGTTACACTTCCGGTACGCTTATGACAGGCGTGAAAGAACGAACACTACGTAAGAATCACAAGCGAACGCACGGGTCTTAAACACGCACAACAAAGGCAACTTAGGATCGACCAAGGGAAAGGGACACCTAGATGTCTCATCTCCCGACGTCTCCTCAAAGAAAAAGATGCTTAATAAAATGATGTCCACTGACCCTAAATTACCCACCGTTTATTTGTGCTGTAAAACTAAGACATGAGCAGAGCAAGTAATGCGATAAATTGACAACAACGTGGGGCATCTGCAACCATAAAGCAAAGCGGTTGAATCGCAGTTTGCGGCATAACCGGATACCCCATTGGAGCCACGGAATGTAATCTAATATTCGCCTCTAAACATTATTGCTTCACAGCAGCCGGCAAATTTCACATGTTTCCATAGAGTTGTAAGCTATTAAATGTCCTAGCTCTGTTAGGAAGTGGTCAAATAACTTTTATGGATAAGATAAATCCACATTTTGCCATGGCAATAACTTCGAAACCGCAGCTCCTCTAAACGAGTTAGTGAACAAGCAATAACAAAACTACGAGGCAAAATTAGATTCAGTTCGGCGTACTGTCTTTCGCCGCGACTCTTCAGGAAGGCTGGCATTATCGAGCACACAAAGGTCAACAGTCGTGTCCTAGAAAACCTTCACCGGATATCACAAACCGAAGAACAGACAGCTCTGGCGAGCACTTCCTGCCGTAGGTCTTATCGTGTAACTGAACCGCAAGAAAACGCAGAAGCAAATTGCGGAAACCCGGGGACAAATCTCGTGCAATCCTTCGTTTCGAGACGTCCCGTTTTTACAAAACCTTTACCAGGAGATATCGGGTCTGTTTATGAAAAATAAGTAATATATTGCGCTTGCCAGGATGCATTAGAACCTAGCCGCTTTACTAATATGTTAATAAGCACCCAGACACACAAAACGCGAGGAAGGAGAGCTCTCATCACTCATCCAAAGTAGCTTCCGCGTCCATTAGACGCCCATTTGAGAGTAAATGGAGTGTTTCTTCTCCATTCAAGCCATTTGACAGTACGACTTCCGCTAAAGAAGAGAACCCTAGTCCAAAATGTAGATATTCAGCAACATCAAAATAGCGACGGCATCACCATGAAATAGTATCATAGACACCAACACAATGCATTTGCAATCCGCATGATGGCAGCAGCCACTTTAAGCATCGTTCCCCAACGACCTGCGGACAACAACACCATGCATTTGCCACCTACCTGATGGCAGGACGCCGGCCGGACTCGAGCTGACGAAGCGGCTCCAGCCACAGAAGTTGCCGGCCGCCGCGCGGAAGAAGTAGCGCCTCCCCTGGGTCAGTTGTCTCACGGGTAGCTCGGGTGGTGGAACCAGGTCAGTGACATCACGCTCACCGGCGACGCTACTGAAGTCGGCAGATGTCGACCATTGGACTGTGGGGGAGGGGAGGCGTTAGTAAGTGGGGGAGGCGGTAAAGGGGTAGAAAGGTTAGTGGGGGCGCAAACAAAATCAGGATATTCTAAAAAATAACTATACACGTGACTAATTGAAACAGTGCCTAAGTTGCAAATCGGGAAGTTTAACCTATCATGTATTACTTATTTCTGGATATATGCATACCATTCATGTGAATTTCGTTTCTGCTTTCACAACAGGAGCGTAGCATTTTTGGTGATCATTTAAATGATAAAGTGTAGGACGCCAAGAACAACACTGTAATTGCTGAACGCCAGGCTATGACGTTCTTTTTAAACGTCAGTTCCATAAAAAAACATATTTATGCAACAAAGCAGTAAAAACATCATCGACGATTCGAGCAAATAGCTTCAACATTTCACAGCCGATATGGAAAATTGCTGTAATAGAACGTGAAACCACACATTCAGAAGTGAACGAACCAAGTGAATTTATTCTGTTTAATCGATAACGTTAACAGCACATTTCGGGAGTCTGTACCTAAAACCCACCAATTTGATTCGTTCAGTCGATGTTTATGGTTTCGACACGCATGATCATAGCGGTAATAGCTCGAATGCTTGCGTAGCGAAACCCATTCATTTCGAACGCGTTGTGCGTTCTAATTGCGAGTCAGCTTGAGAAAGGAAGCCCACATTTTAACACCAATATAACTAAAAATGCGTCATATGCCTACTTGTCTATTTTGTGTTGTCGTCCAAGCACTAGGCCAAAATCGAGGGCAGTGAAGTCAAAACGACATGCTTTACGTCCCTGGGGCGTATGCTATTCCTCACCGCTGCCTAAACATTACGCCTGCTTGAGCTCTGAGACAACCTGATGACGAACAAGAGTGTGCTGTCGAAGGGAATAACATGGGTCTGATAACACCAGCTACATCAACAACTACTTTCTCATTTTTATGTTCCCAAAATTGTTTTCTTCCAGGGTAAGCATGATTGAAGCTTTGGTAAAAAATTGCCTAGAAGTTGCGCGGGAATCATCTATAAACTATGATCTTTGAATATACCTTTACCTTTAGTTTATGTGCTGTTACGAGCGAGCGCGAAGCAAGTCTTTTCAATATAACAGAAAACTCTCAGTATGAGTAGCCCGGCCCGGCCCGAACTGACCCGACCCGGCCCCGCCCAGAAGCATCTAAACTGGGTTGCCGATCTGACCCTTCGTCCAACGAACGCTCGCTATTTATTTTCACAGTATCTGTCTCCTGACATCGCGGCCCGAAGCGCTGCCGTCTGGACCATTTCAGTACCACCTCATTTGCCCGTCACTAAAATGTGTACTTCTGGCGGCGTCTGCCCACCACTAACCTTTGTACTTGGTGCCGCCTGCCCACCACTAAACTGTGTATTCCTGGCGGCGTCTGCCCACCACTAACCTTTGTACTTGGTGCAGATGGCCTGATGCTGACAATCGGGTTCATCCAGGCGCAGTCTGACCTCTTGGGGACCAGTGACCTCGACTGTGACCCGAGCTGGGGGGTCAGGCGGGCCTGCAGACAGAATAGGGAGGTCAGGTCACCAGGGGTCACTTCATGTCGCGCAGGTCATGACGCGTCATGTCACACAATGGCTTGTTCGGTGCACTGAAATACAGATGTCTTTGCAAGCTGCACAAAGCTCTGCCCTGAAAAAGGTACGAGGTACACTCCAGAAGGTTTGAGACTTTTTCAGTAGAGACAGTTAGTTGTTTCAGAAAAGCATGAAACTCCAGTGGCTATCGAAATGAGACCTCCCGAGTTCAATACACTTCTTGTAGCGCTCCAATCACTGCCTATAGGTCCGCTGGTAGCCCTTCAAAGTGAAGGTGCCCAGGGCCTCTGTCACAGCCTCATTCATCTCCTCCACATCCTCCAGCCGGCGTCCCCTGAACTTCTCGCTCAGTCTGGGGAACATCCAGAAGCCACAGATGGCCAGATCTGGACTGTGGGGAGGATGAGGCACAGTTTTGATGCCCATCTGTGTTAGTTAGCTCGTCACCATGATGGACTTGTGGGTGGGTGTGTTGTCCTGGTGCAGGTGCCTCTGGCCAAATTTGAAGAGTTCCGGCCTCTTGCGGCGAACTGTCTTTCTCAACTCCCTTAGAACTTTCAGGGAATTATTCCTTGTCCCGTGCACGGGACCCAGCTAATGAATATAATGCCTTTTTGTCAAAGTATGAGGTTATAATGAACTTCCCAGTGGACCTGCTCTGTCTGGCTTTCTTGGGTCTGGGGGAGTCAGGGTGCTTTCATTGAACACTTTGTCTCTTGGTGTCTGGGTCGTTAAAAGTACATCCAGCGTTCGTCTCAAGTCACTGAAGAGTCAATTTTCAATGTTTCTGGGGGTATTTTCATCAGGCTAATCACAAAACTTTATTGCTTAGCGACCCTCAAAGTTGTCCTCACATTAACAGCCTGACCATGTTGTACACTGGCCGCTGTGACAAGGCGCGTGTGACTTGCCGTGTTCAGGGTGATGCCCTAGCCGTCTCTTGCAACATAGAAAAACAAAATTACGCAAGTACGCTTATGACAACTGTGGGAAGGACATATGAAAACGACAATAATCTAGCACTGTTAATAGGGTTTGTACGAGGGCAGTCTCAAAACTTCTGGAGTGGACGACGTATTTTGAGGGTGATATACCATGCATGACCAAGGTTGACAACCCATACAGGCTGCATTTCTAGATGTCAATGGAAGTTCAAAGTCAATTCACATTTCACAATAAGCTATACGTCGATATTCGATGAATCAAGCTTCTGCGCTGTGCACAACGTACAGAAGCACTTCAACCAAATAGCATCATGCAAGCAAACCCATCATACAATCAATGTCGAATGGTCTAAAGACAGACTGCAATAACTCCGCGAATGAAAAAGAAAAACAACCGCCGATAAAATGACCATCCATTATCACCCAAAGACGATGTAGTGTCGCATCTATCTACGTTACGACGCAGTACGAGGGGGTACCCAAAAGTAACGGGAATCGTTCTCTGTAGGCCAAGCCAGTGGTAGCTCGGCATTGCCCTGCTAGGGGCAAACCAGTCTGGCCCCTGGGACTTAGTCTGCACCGTGAGGTGACGAAATAAAGAGGCGCGGCCGCGTGGCGCACGTATTTATTGAAGCACTCCCGCCCGATCCGTCGTTTTTTTATGCATAGCGGAACTGAGCAACAACGCGCATCAGTGAAATTTTGTTTCCTGCTGGGGAAGTCCGCGACTGAAACGGTTCCAATGCTTCAAGTAACATACAAATATGCTGCTGTGAGCAAGACGCGGGTTTATGAATGATATTCGCACTTCAAAAGTGGTCAAATGTTATCCCAAAAGCGCCCCAAAAAAGCTTGCCAAGTGAAGTCAAATGTCAAGACAATGCTGATTTGTTTTTTTCGATGCAAAGGGAAGTGTGCAAAAGGAAATTGTTCCTTCCTGGTCAAATTCTGCCAATCAGACGTTTTACTTGGACGTTCTGCGTTGTGTGTGAAACACGGTGAGACGAAAACTCCCCGACAGGTGGCGAAGCGGGGAGTGGTGATTTCATCGCGACAGTGTGCCAGCGCACACCGCCTTGAGTGTAAGACAATTTTGGACAAAAAATGCATGACCCCACGGATCCACCCTCCCTATTCACCGGATTTGGCACCCTGTGACCTTTTCCTGGTCCCCAGAATGAAAAGGACCTCAAGGGATACCCTTTCGACGACTTTGATAAGGTAAAAGCAAAAACGACGATGGCTCTGCAAGGCATCACCTTGCAAGAGTTCCAGAGCTGCTTTGAGAGCTGGAAAACGCGTCTGCATAGGTGCATTGTCTCGCAGGGAGAGTACTTTAAGAATGACATGAATGGCGATATGTAGGGATCAGTGAATAAACAGATATGAAACAATTCCCGTTTCTTTTGGGTACCCCCTCGTATCTCAGACCAACCTCGATCAAAACATTTCCTTCCTTGGTATTCTTTTCTGCCGTCGCGCCGGCTATCCAGAGAAAATTTAAACAGCCATTCGAGTGGCTACCTCTCTCGACTCCATCACTGGACGGTTTCTCCCGAACAAAAACATCGGCAGCCGACTCAATTGGGGTAATTTAGAAGAGGACAGCAAACAGTACGTCCACTCCCGGTCAACACACCTCGGGGTAACGACTCCCCTGAGGAAATTCCCCATTCACCCGGTGTCTCAACAGAGCGGCCTCGTGGGTCTCCGCTGACGACCTGAGCCGTTCGATACGAAACGCCCTGGGCGGTTAGCGCAGCGGCTGAGACGAACTCCGACAAATTGAACTCGCCTGCGGCCGACTGAATGGAAACGTTTCGCCGAGTGGCTGCCTGCCGCTTGCCTAGGCTGGACAGATGAGCGCATGGGCGCTAGTCTACGTGAACGCACCCAGGTTCGAGTCAACTCTAGCTCTACTACGAAAAGCTGCACATTGAAATGCGGTGCGGCATGCGTCTGATTCAAGTGGCAGGCCGGGAAACGAATGCCAATTGAGCGCAATCAGTCAAGGTTGAGTTTGCTTCAAATGAGAGCATCTCCAAGAAGCTCGTTAGTCTACTAGGTTCTTCCAGGTGAATTCGTTCGTCAGAGAATGTCGGAAAAATACCATCTAGCCGCCAGCGCTCAACACTCATCACAAGCTCCAGCCCAACCTCAAACTTTAACTGACGAGAACTTGCTAGTATTTAGTATTTGCCACCACTTAACTCCTTATCAACTCCCTAACCCTCACTCTAACTCCCACCACCGAGTGTACACTCACGCGTCTGGTCGAAGCCGACTTTCATCCTGTTGAGGAGCTTGAGTCGCCTCTGCCACAGGGTCCTCTGCTTCTCCGACTCCTTGCCGCCGTTGGTGCTGGAGACGTAGCTGGTAAGCATGTCGACCCTCCGCTGCGCCTTCCGCACCAGCTCCTGCAGGTGGGAGCACCTGCTGTCCGTGGACAGAACTGAAATGGCAGGAGGGAGGACCGGTTAGGGCGTGGAGTCCGAGCAAACACCGGTTTTCCGTCGACAGAACTGAGATGGCAAGAGGGAGGGACAGTTAGGGCGTTTAGGTCTGGCTACATGCATGATGACGCGAATGCGCTGCAAAGGTGACCACAGAACATTATGAATGCAGTTCAGTGCTATAGCTGAGAAATGAAAATAAATAAATTTAGATAACGTGACTCAAATAAGTGAGATAAGTGTCAAGGAAACAATAAGAGTAGGCACAGCTGCACAGCGCACAGCTGCTCAAGTGACATCAAACTGTCTCGTACGACGCACAGGAGTCATGCGTGGCACGCCGAACTTCGAGCGCCTGATGAACCATTCGGAGCGACCTACACCCAGGAGTTCAAATTTGAAACACAGACCAGAGGTAACGTCCACTCAACACGCAGTCCACACCACCATTCCCCAAGAGACAACTGAAAAAGACGACTGAAAGGACGCCGACGAAAGGACGCCGACGAAAAGACGTCGACCAAACGACGCCGATCAAACGACGCCAGTCCGAAAAAAACGCCCCTCGGGGAGTAGCGGGTCGCAGGGCGTCTATATAGGTGACGACAGACAAAGTCCAGACGAGGTGTAAACAAAACGCTAAGAGGATGGGCATGCCTGAAGCCAGGAGGAGTTGGGCGGCGAGATATCCAGCTAGAGCTGGATGAAAATGGTTCTGGGGGGATTTGGGGAACTTTGAAGTGATGAGGCTTCGCAGCAGAATATCGTGATGGGAGCTTTTATGGAAGCTCTCTCAGTTTTCGAACCTCAGCTTTTTTGTCCAAGTTCAGCGATTTCTTGTGAATCTTTCATAATCAAAGTGGGAAAAATAGCAGGGATTTAGTGATGCATCAGACACCTCAGCGTGAAATAGGAACATACTTTTTGCAAAGTTGCTGCATAATTTCTAGAACACTTTGCCAACAATGCGTTATTCACCAGCCAACTTCAAATTAAGTTCATAAAACACCTGAACCATAACAGCAGTGAAAGTTGAAGTAAACAAATAACACCTTGCGTTACCAGCGAAAATTCGATATACAACATCAATTTGGTACGATACTTTTGGAAGCTACCCATGTAGCTGCCAACAGTGTCTGTCGTTTTTGGCAGACACAATAATTCCTAGCGGGCAGCAAGTAAATGGGCAGAAGTTTACAAACCTCTCCACAGGGCTTGTCAAGTGGGAGGCATTCAAGAACTCAACACACTACACTCTACAGTTAACAGTGACGGCTACCTCACAGAAAAATGGCTGAAGACAGCGACGTTATTCACGTTGGGACGTACCTACTCGCAGTGAAAAAAAACTAACCATTCTTGGTCCAACTAAGTTTTTCCGCGGCCGTAGGCAGGGTCAACGAGGCAAATGCTTTATCATGCATTTGAACTTCATCCAATTTATCTACAAGTTCAGGAATCACCAAGATCAGTGTCCAACCTTGTAATGACCATTCCTCCAGGTCACATAATGTATTTGAAAATTATCACACACAATGCTTCTCTCATATGGTCCCTTTACCCCTCAGTGTCACAGATGAAACCAGTACGCCATATTTTGTTCCAATTCGCCCCCGTGCCCCAATCAGACCCAGCGCGCCACAATCCGTCCAAGAGCGCCACAATACGCCACGATGCGCCACAATGCGGCCCAGTGCGCCGTGATTTGTTCCGGTGTGGTCAGCATTCTGGAGGCGTGTGCTGGTTCCGCGGCCACGCCATTTGTCGATTCGTTCAATGACATTACCATATCTCATCGGAAGAACGGGGGATGAGACAGGACCAATCGGAGGGAGCCGACGAAAGAGGAAGAGGGGAAACGGACGAGAGGAGAGGAAGGAGACGGAGACAAGAGAAGAAGAGAACGAAGGGATACACAAACAGGATATGAGTGGATAAAAAGGAATAGAAGGAAATAAAATACTATACTGGGATGGCAAAAACCCCAGGACGGCACGTGAAATGGCGATACCGGTAACAATCATGGGCCGAAAGGCCAAGGTAGCTAGAGAAACGATCAATATTCATCTGCCAATAAATGTCTGGCTCGATGACAGTCTGTGACAGCCATGTCAGGCTTGGCTGTCATGAACAGTGACAGGTGGAATGAGCATGCGTCAATGGCGAGCATATTGTCTCCGAGACTCGTAATGGTTATGAAAATTGTCCATCATTCAGCCGAATTTTGCTTGGCTTGTACGCACTCAAATGTAATCGACTGATTCAGCGTAGTGGAATCACATAAATAAGCAATCAAAATAAAAAAAGATATCGACATCGGAGCAATATTTCCTGGTAAAATCGAGTAACAACTTCAGTAGCGACAGCCTATAAATTACTGCTGTCATAACAGAAAGGCGCAAGACGCATGCCGTACTTAAAACGATCAATTTTGACCAATTACCGAGCACGTGTTTTCCCAATGCTTAAATATTTACCGATGTAATACTGTTAAGCTTTCCCTAATGAATCTAATTCGACATGTAACGAGTAGGATGATGTTCATACATCATTTTGTTAGTGCTTGCAATCGGTTGCAATCAACGAATATCCTGCTCCCAAATAAAACACATCGCACTGGCCACGCAGTCAACCTGTAGCTTTCCAGACCACCACAAATATTATTGCACTAATTTAAACACAATTACCATGCGACAGAACACAGAGAACCTCATGTCCTGACCAAACCTCAACGAAGTCTTCTGGCCGTCATTTGAAATCAACCATGCGATCGCAGGCGTCTGGTTTTTCAGTAGGAGGTGGCGTCCCATTCGCGTCACAAATGCCCCCACGCGCGTCACCAATGTACCCCGGCATCTGGTTGCAAAGTTGACAAGACGCAGGCCACGCCATTGAAGACAGACAGCATTGCAAAAAGGCAGAGTGGCAGGCAAGGACGGCATTCAATTAGATCGGAAGACGTGCATCAATCGACTCGACTTGTGTCGTGTTTTTCGATATCAGTTTCCCTGCTGAGCTGATGAAAAGACCAATATCAGGCCAGATTAGACAGATCTTGCAATGAAAGTTAGCTGAAGTGCAGTCACAAGCGATGTGCTTCGAATGCCATTTCGATTTCATCGTGCCATAAATGTTGATAATTAAATAGTTCAAGTCCGCGAAGCTATTTGAAACTTTGAAACGACGACCTCTTCATCGAGTTCACGCTGAAAAATATAAATCACACATCTCATATAAGACATATTTCTGCCGTATCCTCAAAATCCGTCACGACTGAAAGATCCCATTTAACTTCCACCACTAATTCAGCCAAACTTTACAGTCGAGAAATCACCATGTTCAGCCCGCCACAACATGACCAAACCCATCTTATATCTCCCTCAGATAACCATTGAGACCGCCCCTGTCGCTCGTTTCAACGACCTTGACCTTTACCGCGCTTAGTAACGCTGTCTACAGGGAGCATGGCAACCCCCAACCGCTCCCCTAACCTGCCTCAGGCTTCGTCTAACCAGAGTTGACAGAATCGGACGCGGCGCCGGGCGCTGTTTTCAGTTTGTGCAGCGGTGACAGTAAACGTAAAGCAGGGTTAGTTCGCTGTACTGGTGCGGGGGATTGTTTTGGGAACGACCAACGACCTGACGAACTAAGGTCAGCCTCCGCTATGTTGTGCCTTTGGAATGTGAGAAACGTTGGGAAATCAATGGTTTCGTTACAGGACATATTCGTATAAATATTTCATTTCTATGGCGTTTGTATTAGTATTACATCACCTTTTCCAGATAGTGTTTAACAGAAAGAAAATAAACAGCATTTGACTTACACAGATAAGCAAAAATTAAAACAAACAAATAGCCTGACAACCGCACTATCGCTGCCAAAACCAATCCCTGTCCTCCTCCCCCCCCCCCCGCGACTTGATGACTCGTCTTGCCGGCTATCTCCAAGGAGGGACAGCCCAGCGCTCACCCGATGTGTTTATAGCACGTGCCGCCCGCCTGCAGGGCAACTACCCCTCCCCTTCCCCGCCCCGCCGCGCCGCGCGGCCCCCTCCCCACGTCTGCCGAGGCGGGGGGTATAGCAAACAGCTGATCATGAGTTCAGCCGACAGCCATCTTCAAGGGGAGGGGGAGTGGTCATCGCTAGGCCAATGAAAGTGCGCCATCAACACTCAATATCGCTGAATGGGTCCCAAATCAGCAGGATTCGCTGCAATCGATAGAAGACATGTACTATAGATGCGACGTCTATCGCAAGCGCTTGCAGGCAAACTAATGAAACTGATACTGGCACTTAAGTGGCGACCATTAGTGTTAAGCTCCTCCGATATACAAGGCAGCTGGGATAATTAATCAGCCTGGCAAGAAATGGCGCTCAATGAGAATTGTGAAGACAGAAAGCTTTCAGGGCGTCATCGCACGTCAAAGATGTCCAAATTAAAATGATTCGTGTTTTGAAATCGACTAAAAAGAAAGAAAGAAAGAAAGAAAGAAAGAAAGAAAGAAAGAAAGAAAGAAAGAAAGAGCGAAAGAAAGAAAGAGCGAAAGAAAGAAAGAAAGAAAGAAAGACAGAAAGAAAGACAGAAAGAAAGAAAGAAGGAAAAGAAGGAAACGCATGTGAAAAAAGAGACTAACACGGTTGTTGGTCAAGCTGCAAGCGCCGAATCATTCGATGCGTGGACCACAATGGTTGCTTCTATGGTTGTGGATGCTTCTATGGTTTACTAGCTTCTTTTAAAAAAATTGCCTATCGAAGGAAGAAGACCATGGCCAGGATCAAACAAAACATAAACAATGACTAGTACCAGCTCATGACGGCTAGCTGATGCTATAACTCATTTCGGGGTCACATTAGGTCATCGCATCGTACCCGAGGTCATCAAAGGTCATCACTATCAAAACCATCACTTTCTATCTCCGAACCAAGCCACCAAGCAACATCTGAGGGTCTCTCTAGCTTCATTGTTTTGTTTTGTTGTGTTTTTCTTGGCCCCGCTATACATACAGTAGACCACTCCCAAACCGCGGGCACCGTAACTCTGACCCACCCTCGTCCTGATGTCACCCTCACAGTCCGGTGACTCGCGCCGAGACGTCTGTTGATGTTTTCGCTAGCCGCTGCCTTCTGAGAAGGCCCCTCCCTCGGCTCTCTGCCTGGTGAGCCCCCCATGCCGCGCTAGATGAGGCTGTCCCCCTCCGGCATCGTATGCGGCTCGTATAATCATGCTGACTAATAATTCGATGACCATGATGATATATTGGTTTTAGAGGCGCCTGGAATGCATTGGTCATTAGCAACCAGCCGAAAATTCATGATCATAACGATCAAATAAAAGGCTATGAGTGGTTAGTGCTGAAGGATCCACGCACTTGCATTGCCACACTATGATCTCGAGATAATTTCAACCGTATTCACTACGCACTATCGCTTCCTCCCAACGTCCCTGTCAATTGTTATATTGTACCTTTTGCCTCAGACTCCTCTGATCTCTCATATCAAACTCTCCTAAATTTCCCATCTCTTCTTCCTTCCATCCCTTCCAACTGACCTAATTTCTACACTTTTGCCGGCCAGCCACCTCATCGTTATTATCCAGTCTAGACAAACCCACATCCCTAGACTTTACGGCGGGCGGTAGCGAGGCATTGAGGGCAGCGGGGGCGGCGGGGGCGTAGTCGGGGGCGACGAATGGGGGGGGGGGGGAGGTCGACGAGAGGGGGCGAAGGCGGTAGACTAGGTCATCAAGCCGGGTTAAAGCCGGGTCGAAGCCCCGGGGTTATCTCTCTTTGGTCCAGCCATCGATCGTAATGAACAGCAGACGACCAGCCTTACTGGCCGAGATACGAGCCCGCTCCAGACTGCCCGCCGCGAGATAGGGGTCGGGGTAGTGGGAAAGCCGCATCAGGATTTAGACGATGGAAATCCACAGCAAGAAATCCACGGCAGAATTGACGGTCAGAACTCGACAAATGAATTTTGCATCCCGGTTGCACTGAGGCATACCGGGAGACCAGAACTCAGAAAAGACTGATAAACTCCGTCTCACAACCGTTTCATTTTGAGATCAGATGTCTGCTAAACTTTGTCCTAACGGTAAATAAGTTTATTGACATCCAAGTACAGCTAGAAGCCAAGATAAAAGCTATCAGTTCACTAGAAGCCATTGAATGACATTCCATAAGCCTTTCCGCTGCCACATCAACAAAACTCTCCGTTTATAACGGTTTGTCAGGCGAAACCGCACACCGCTATGTCGTGCAGGTTGAAGAAGGAGCTGGTATAAATAGCACTCCCTACACCACACCCACTGGTGAATAAGGTGACCTCAGACGCCCGTGGGTGTTTTATTTGCGTCTTTGTGGACAGTGATAGTTTATTCTATGAGCTGGCCACCGCTTACACTGTCGTCTGATACTGCTTTCCGCCAGTATGAATACTAGTGCTGATGTTGGTGGAGAGAATATGATCGGCATATCAAAACGACATTATGGCATTATTATGACATTATGAAAACGATTAATTGTTCGCATCACTTTGCTTCCGAGACTCAAACTAGTTGTAGACCTCCACACGCGAACTTTTTCAGTAGATTGCTGAGAAGGTGCGCTACAATTTAGCAAATTAACCTGGTTAAGCGCTTAGCAATTACTGTTCAACCTAACCTACCGGCCACACTATCTCACAGCTTCACTTTGGGTCGGTCTGCGGACACTCAGCTGACTGCGACGCCATTTATGACGTAGTTGGGGTCTTAACCTCGGCCTAGTTACTGTTAATGGCATATCTCACGGAACTGGGCTCAGAAGGACGATAAACACTGGATTTATCCCGAGCGCGTCTCTCTCTCTCTCTCTCTCTCTCTCTCTCTCTCTCTCTCTCTCTCTCTCTCTCTCTCTCTCTCTCTCTCTCGCTCTCTCTCCCTGTCCTGTGGATAATGCGGAGCAGTATGAGGTATTATTTTTCCGCGCAGGAGGCATGATGTGGAGATACCCAGGACGACTTTATCGGACGATGGCAATTGGGGCGAAAATGGTTTGTAAGAGTACGAAGAATGGACTTTATCCATGGGAGTGATTTGGAACACAATGTCGGGTATATCCGTCGAACTATCTTATGTCCAGTGACGGAACCTATCGGAAATATAAGTTAATAGAGCATCGATGAAAAAATCAAAACCACGTGCATGTACGCATCAGCAAAGCCGGGAAACTTATACCTTCCAAATTTAGACAATTGGCCAGAAACAGCTGGATCAGACAAGCAAAGGAAAATAGTCTCTACGACCCATTTTTCAGGACATTAAGTGCAGGAAATATGACACGATGTTCAATTTGAAGACAAATCAGACTGATTCCATGATCCAGTCCTCCACTGCGATGTAATGACTACAATGCCCCGGGGCGTTCAGATACTTACATTGGGAGCTTTCCCTGGCTCCGCAGGTGAGCAGAAGTCGCGCCATCTGCTGATTGTTGGTCATCACAGCAATGTCCAGCAGTGAAAAGCCATCCCCATTCACGCTGAAACAAAAGATGGAAAAAATCAACAAGAGTTAAAAATGATGATGCAGCTGGACATCGTGAGCATCAAGATCACAAAGTATCTGGATGCACCAGGTGTCATACAACTCACGGTGGGAGAAAAACGATACAGCCATATCCTCAGCTGAAGCTTTTGTTTGGGTTTGGTTAAGTATTCATTTCCAAAGCAATATTTCTATGTGTAGCTTTTTTGATTTGATACCTTGACACTCGTCCGACAAACAAAGTCATAAAGAACAGACGATATTATGTCCGGTTTTGATGCGAAATTGAAATTAGGTGATATAAATTTGCTAAGCTAGGAAATTATTCGCTGTTATTGGTGTTTCCATCAGACCACAAACTCATGCAATCTCAAATGAGCCTGCATATATTTCTGAGGCTGCCTGGGCTTAACAGAGCGTAATTACGTAACGTTTGATGACATTCATGTGATGGAGTCCATTTAATCAGCTAGAAAATACACACAAGAGTAATGTTGAACAGGATCGTCTGGTCTGCATGCGGCTAAAATAGTCATAAGAAAATATTTGCCTTCCTTCTGAGTCTTATAATCTGCAAAAAATCAAAGGAAAGAGCAGAATTGTTACCTACTTATGATCTTCTTATCATCTTTACAGCATACTAGATCAGTTGTCCCCCATCGTCCATCAGTATGCCTTATGCCAGCCCAAGCATTCATCCATTTTTAAAACGTGTCTTTGAGCTAGATTGCCAGCTACCGGAGTTCTGATGCTGGATGGCTGTCGTCAAATCAGGATAAATCGCCGGGGGCCTGCTGTGCCTTCTTTATTCAACGTTCTTCGCCCAGTCGCTTCTCCATTTATCTTTGCTGAATTGCTTTTTAGTGTGGTGCAAAATATCAGCCCTGCCAGACAAAATATCAGCCCTGCCAGAGCATTTGGAAGATTTAGAGAAACGTTGGACTTTATAAGATTCAAATGTTCATTCTTAAATGCGCTGAAACTCTGAGTCCTACATGAATAAATAGCATGTTGGCTATCGTCACATTGCTTGCAGATGAAATAAGAGAACCTGACGATGTGAGCTGAATTCGGTCCAATTTAATAGCTACATGAATCCCTAAGTTTCATATTACACTACATATACATCGCGCTATGTCACAGAAAGTCGCGAAGACATTGAACAAAACCATTTTTCCCTCATTCGCACGATTGCGTGCTTTCTTCGGCCTTCTGCCGACGGCGAATTCAAGAACGTCAAGGTCAGATAACTCAATACAGCTGAAATATCTCCTTTCACTAGACAAAGGCCAGCAAACAATAACACTTCAACTGCTCTTGAATCCCTCCGCCAGCACTGTAAGCCACCTCTAAGAGCTGGATCTCCATATCTTGATTCACAAAGTCACGCTGACTGCTAAATCCCTATGGTTACTGACTGCTGTGCTCAGCACAAAGACATTCTGCGTGTACCTCGTGGAGTACTTTCAGAGAGCATCTTTGGGGAGCACCTTAGGAGAGTACACGGGGAACACCTGGGGAGTACCTTCTCCCAAAAGGCCTTGCAGTGCAGAGCAATAATCATCACATAATCACGCAGTTCGGCGTACACTCAAACACGCACCAGTTGAGATTTAACTGGAGTTCCGAGAAACAGCCAAAGCGCGCCGCTGCAAATCAGTGGAGCTAAGTGGGTCCCGGTTAAATCCGAGTTGATGATGATTTTAGCTTATGAATGCCGAGCCAGCTAGGGTTGCGCAGTTGTGCCGCTAGGGATTTACGCACAGCTAAGGTGCTCATAATTCGAGCATGAAATGGCTGAACGATCGCCTCTGAAATTCAATGAAACGTGTAATCACTAAAGCTGAATTTGATCGGGAACAGTGTTGTTGCGTCAATACATCCCAATTAGTAAGCAGAAGGTCACACAGGTAAGCGGACGATGGTACGGAAACAGTTGTCCATCGATTGTTACTGTGCTGTTAGTGTTGAGGAGCTGGGGCATTCCACGATAGATCGACCAAAGCCGTACACCCTCATATTTTATTTTTTGCTTAAAATTGGTCTAATGGGTCATGTGATGGGCGGGGAAGCCAGCTGTGCCAAGGATTTTTTTCTTCGAACAACGTTTTCCGAGATATAGCCTCAGGCAATCCCTGAAGGTCACGCTGCAACCCTATGTTTGGCGGCTTATAACTCAGAAACTATTGGTTTTCTATAGTAAAAACTTTATATGGTTCAACTCGCAATCAACCAACAAACGTTTTGGCTATCTCGGATTTTCGATTTTTGAAAATTTTGATCACGTGACATCTTGACCTTTTTTCGAAGAGTGACCTTGATATTTTCCCAACTGAAAGTCGCAATTATGTCTGATGACGATTAAAGCCTTATCAATTGTCATTCATATGCGCAAATAAAAAAGTGGCTTTCGGCCTGCGTTGACCTCAGGTTAGGTCATTTTTATGACCTGTCCATTTTATTACGAGCGGGAGCGACGCGAGATCTCGAGAATAAAGCAAGATAGCGACAAGCGGTAAACGGTACAGGATTCACACGGATAAGGTCTACAATTTTATTTTCAGGTCAGGTCAAAGATGACGTCACAGGGGTAAAAAGGAAGTCAAAATAGTTTTGGCTGTACCTTTTGATCTAATAAAGAAAGAGACTGTGTGATTCTTATCCGTGGGTCATAGTTCGTGCAATACTAAAGCGTCATGGAATAAACGTCATTTATATTGAGCTACATTACAATGCGTCCAACACTCGACAGATCGACCCCGATCAAACCAACCGCTGAACAATGTCACACTCGCGTTGCCATGGTGACGACCAATAACTGGGGGTCGCCCATGGTGGCAATACAACTCTCCGAACCTCACACCTCCCCCCAGGTCGGTCCGTATGTCTTCAGCCTCGGATCGACCTGGAGTCTCTCTGGGGGCTGACGTCGTCGGCTGCTCCGTCGTGGGGAGAGCTCAGACTCGCCCAGAGAAAACCGCACCGTCTTGCGGCTTACCGGAGCCGGGGTCGGTGACAGCGTCTCGCCTCTTCTCTGGCTCGGATCTGCTCGGCTTGGATCTGGATCTGCTCGCTGGGTCGCGACGATCCCACGGAATGGCCGGACATGCCTGCGGTTACGCCATAGGGTGCGGCCACTAGGCGTCTTGATCAAGTAGCTTCTGTGGCTCCCGATCCCCACTACCTGGCCGGTCCTGTCCCATAGGCCTGTGTCCGGATCTTGCAGCGATACGTATGCTCCTATACGTAGAGGTCTCAGCGGCTTGGCGCTGGTGTTGTATGATTCCCTGGCTGCTGCTTTCATCTCCCGGGTCCTACCGACCGCGCCATGTGTGATTCTTATCCGTGGGTCATAGTTCGTGCAATACTAAAGCGTCATGGAATAAACGTCATTTATATTGAGCTACATTACAATGCGTCCAACACTCGACAGATCGACCCCGATCAAACCAACCGCTGAACAATGTCACACTCGCGTTGCCATGGTGACGACCAATAACTGGGGGTCGCCCATGGTGGCAATACAACTCTCCGAACCTCACAGAGACGTGGAACAGGCACCATTGTGTTTGCTTTCGCCTAGCGCCAGTTCGTTTTGAATTTCAATACCGATGACCTAAGATCAGGTCAATTTCTTGACCACCCCATTATAAGTCAATTGGGGAAAAATCAGCTCCCTTGTTTTTACACTAAAACGCGTCGGAATTGCCTAATATACCATGAGTGACTTCATATACGACTAACTTTGACTACCTTGAGACCTTTTTTGCTCTTGGTCAACTGTGACGTTGCTCTTGGGCCATGTGACGTCATTAAAGGTCACCAAATGTTTTTTTGCTACTAACTCCTTACAGGTTTGAGATACAGCCGCGCGGATAGGCTCATTGTGTTCAGCTCGTCAAGACCCATCGAATGATATATATGATGACCTTAAGGTCACGTGACCTAAGGTCAACTTTTGACTTTGACCTTTCGATGTCAACATACACATGTTTCGATGCGGATCGACGAGAGGATCACGATGGTGCTATTAGCTTGTTCCTAGCTGGAATACTTTGAAAGTTATTCGAGAAAAACTTCATATATATGTAGTGCCGCCATTTATACTTTCTTTTTACCCCTGTGACGTCAGCTTTAACCTGACCTGAAAATGACCTGAGTAAAAATTGTAGACCTTATCCATGTGTACTTTGTGCCGTTTACCACTTGTCGCTATCTTGCTTTGTTCACGAGATCTCGCTGTCGCTCCCGCTCGTAATAATGGGAAGGTCATAAAAATGACCTGACCTGAGGTCAACGCAGGCCGAAAGCCACTTTTTTATTATCGCATATTAATGACAATTGATAAGGCTTTAATCGTCATCAGACAAAATTGCGACTTTCAGTTGGGATAATATCAAGGTCACTCTTCGAAAAAAAGGTCAAGATGTCACGTGATCAAAATTTTCAAAAATCGAAAATCCGAGATAGCCAAAACGTTTGTTGGTTGATTGCGAGTTGAATCATATCAAGTTTTTACCATAGAAAACCAATAGTTTCTGAGTTATAAGCCGCCAAACATAGGGTTAGAGTGTGACCTCCAGGAACTGCCCGAGGCTATATCTCGGAAACCGTTGTTCGAAGAAAAAAATCCTTGCCACAGCTGGGTTCCCCGCCCATCACAACCCATTAGACCAATTTTAAGCAAAAAATAAAATATGAGGGTGTAAATTTTATTCATTTTTGGTCGATCTATCGTGGAATGCCCCAGCTCGTATTTCAAATCGAGGTAAGGCAAACTTTATTTTCTTCTTTTATGGTTTCAGTATAAAGTGGCATCCTATAGAAGACGTAGTGTTATCATTCGTTCTTATACCTCTGCTACCCATTTGCTGTCAGTCAAAAGAACGAAAAAAAACTTCTGTTCAGCAAGTCGCATAAGTCTGACCTCTGATCAAAGTGTCATCGCCCACCGTACCTATAGAGTTGACATACGGGTACGCCCGCTGACAGTCTGACACGCCATCTGACAGCCTGCCACGCCCCTCCACTCCACCTGACAACCCGACACGCCCACCAAACTCACACCCTGTCAGTCCCCATCCGTCACATCCGACACTTCCACCATCCATGGCGATGACAAACGGACTTGCGTGGTACGCTATCACCAACACAGCAACTGAAGCGTCCATGGACCCTCGAAGGTGCACGAAGGGCCACCTAGACCTCCCGCTGAGCTCCCGACGCTTGTCATGCCACTGGCGAGCAGCGATCACTCACCGAGCCTTACACGGTGGTCCTTTGTGACGTGTCCACACCACGCAATACACATCCACGCCAGTGCGGTGGCGTTGTGTTGTTTGATAGCAGTAGTGGACAAAGGGCATGCGGTGTTACTGTATGGGTTTGAGTGTGTATAGTCTAGGTTCATTGGAAGCTGGTGTATATGCTGCATGGGTATGCGTGGGTTATCAGGAAAGCCCAGTTTCTTAGTTAGAAGTGAATCATAAACTTCGCTATGGTAGGGAGTAAAAGGAATTTCATACGCCAAAGTATATGGAATCCCTTGCATTGTGTGACTTCATGTTGTATGTTCTTAGATATCACAGACTCCTTTACTTTTGGGCTGGCATTTTGAGCAATGTGTTGGACGTTTCAACGCTATCAACTAATTAGAAACCTCCTTACTGAATTAAATAAAACATTCCTTGAAGACCTTAAGCAATACCCTCCGTCGTTTTCAACACTACCATTGCCTCCCACTACATCTACTCGTACCCGACGCTATCCATAGCCCCGCAGTGACCTGCACTTCCCAAGCGTCAGTGGCCCCTGACGCAACCCGCGTGGGATTGCATCAGTTGTGTCACTAGACGGACAGGCTTCCCTGCTCCCATCCCTCTCGTTTCGCTCTGCCCTTTCCCAGTGATTAACCTAAGGACACTCCCACGGGGCTACTCCTCCCTCCCCTTCCCCACCAGTCCCACTAAGCGTAACTGTGGCACGAGAAATACCAGGCCCCGCGACGCAACGCATGCTGGCCACTGGAAGCAGCGTGAAGTGCAGGGAAGAGTCTAATTCGAGGAAGCGCGGACGCTGCGCTGCATGTATCATAATTCTGACTGCTTGGCATGGTCACAAGAGGTGCAACTTCGAAGCACGAGTCTCGTGCATATGAATACGAAGTTATGCAGGGGCAATTTTAGTTCTTTTCATCTCAAAAGAAAACTCGGGACATATATTGAACAAGTTGAGTTAGCCCTGGCTGGAAGTTTCCCACAACCGGTGCTTATTGCACTCAGTATTTCATCTCTTATGACTCAGACCTCAGTGCACTTCCAACAACAAACCAGTGCTTCTCGTTTTGCGGTGCTGACCGTATCACCCCGTATCCATGGCAACGAAACGCCCGCTGTGTCACTGCTCGTCCGCACTTCCTCGTTGCAACTTAGAACGTGCAGAAACCGGATATCTGTGGCTGCAGCATGTAGTTGAACGGAACCGGTCCCCCGTTAGTGCGGCGTTGCCATTTGCGAAAACCGAACCGGGCGGCCAATAGATTGTCATCAGTATAGAGTTTCGGGCTGAAGTGATGTTTCTAGTGACAGAGTTCGACGGCATGTTTCGTGCAGTCGCTCAAAAGTGTGTCAGTTGCGGATTCTGAGGTTGGGAAATGAAATAGTTAACTGGGACCCGCGGCTCAAGAATCCTTTAGTGACAGTTATGATCAACAAGGCAAGGATAAAAGGTGCCTACTACCCACGCGCGAAAATCCTTACAAGTATTTAACAAAATAATTATCAACATGGATTTAGGTCAATGAATGTTGTCTACCCACCAGTTTACGGTAAGTTACATTAACCCGCGCCCCGTAGGGCTACCGGCGGACCCTACCACCCGTAGGGGGGGGGGGGCGTTTCGGCCCCCCCCTAAGATCTCGGAAAGTTACCGGCCGATTTTCAAAATTCAAACGGCGTTTGATAGCCCTACCCGGGAACTACCTTGTGACCAAATTTCATTGACCTAGGTCAAACCGATGACGTCACAGGTCAGGTCAAAGGTCAGATTTTCACCGTTCACAGGCAATTCAAGAAATGTGCTGTGAAATCGAGTAAATTGGTAATTTATTGAAAACCATCGATGGTATATTGTTCGTCAAACACATACTTTGCTATCTGAGGTCACTGATACCAGGTCAGGTCACAGCGAGGTCAGGTCACCGGGGGTCACAATATGAATGTGTCGTGTGATACATGTTTTATGGTCCATTTTACATGACAAATGCGATTATGTGGGTTAGGCAGCCTTTGGGGCCAGCCTAGGTCACGTTTTGGTGAAGGTCAGGTCAAGGTCAGGTCAAATTAGGTCAAATTTCAAAGTTGATATTTTTGCATAAAATGGGTATCCATTCGATGCAGCTCGTCACGGGGAGTCTAATGGTGGTCTTTGTTTTGCTCTACGAGTTCTAGAATTGCCAAAAATTGAGTTTGAAAATTTGACGTCATCATTTTTGAACAGTTTTTTCGCTATAACTTGGCCAAAAAACGAGGTATCGATCTCAAATTTGGTATGTAGATAGAAGACGGTAGGTACTATCACATATATTCCGTTTTTTTCGAAACTCAAAAAACTTTTTGGATTTTTTGGCTAATATATCTAAAAAAATGCTTTTTTGATTTTTGGGGATCAAAACTCAAAAATTTAAAAAATCCGAGATAGCAGTTTTGTAGCCCTGTCAATTATACACCTTTTATGTCTTGATCATTTTTCTGTATCTTCAAAGCTGTAGGCCTGACAGGTCTTCTCGCGAAGGTCTTTTTTCGGTCGAAAATGACAGAACATGATGTCACTCTGACGTCATTTGTAGCCAACCTATCACAGCCTCTGGAAAAATTTTTGGTCACAATGTGTAAAATTGATGCCCGGAGGGGTCCTGAAAGTTTGGTGGCGATATCTCCAGCCGTTTAGGAGATATCGACCGAAAAGGACAGGGGGGGCCGTTTCGGCCCCCCCTACGGGGCGCGGGTTAATTACGTCAGCCTAATTGTAGACCCCCTTGCATCAGTAGATGGCCAAACCCCTTCCTGACATCATGGTTTTAGCGGAGCAAACACAAACCAGAGGCACATCATACTTAACTAGCTAGCAAGACCCAATCCATTGCATCATATTTGGTTAGGAACACCGTTTAGCATGTTGAGTGTTGACCCAGCAACCATATCTATGCCACCGATTGACTGATATACGTCGTTAACGTTTCGAGGCTGGCCAATTTCTTGTGGCAAGGTTTCATACACAAGCACTTGTGTTTATCGTGGCGAATAACCAGTGTTTATAAAGCATCGGACATCCTCGAAGATACACAGAAACGAAGCTCCTGGGAGCTGACCTTATCGCTGCCATGGAAAATCCGAGAAGTCACTGACCATAAAGCAACATACATATTCTGTTGTTAGTATCAACAAACAGCAGCATATTGTGAGCACTATCAGTGCACCAAACTGACGTTATAATAAACACAACATTTTGACCATGATACGAACCAAAGATATGTTCCCGTTTGACCCCATCCTCGTGAAGACTGAACATACCTGTTGACATCCACATCAGTTGTCTTCAGGATGGCTCTGGCCTTCTCCAGTTGACCGTGTTCGACGGCAGCATACAGAGCTGTCAACGTAAGCAGCTGTCAGCAACAAGTCACCAATGCGGCGCACGGTAAGGTTACAATGCAAGGCTGTGAAGTGTGATCAAATAAGAACGTCGGATTGTGGGCCCAGTCCTTGGATGAGGAACATCAGCAGCGTAAGCTTTATTATTGTGTGGCAAGAGTACAGTCTAAACGGCGCAGATTCAGGATGCATGAACCACGTGTAACTTCGCAATTTCGCCATACCTGAAATAAAAAGTCGTCTAGAGATTTTGAGGTTTTACATGTAAGAATTGAACACCATTTTCCGCCCATTGTAAATGCACGGGTTCAGGAGTACGACTCTGTACGACTTCAGAAATAACAACATGCGACGTAGATTCGCATTTCTTTCGTCGCCGTATTTAAGAACAGTAGCAATGCAATAACATTGCATTCACTATTGCAGTCAAAATGTACACAATCTGTGCACGAAATCGGAGCTTTGTCATTCCTTTCTTCGGCACAAACAACAATGAATGAAAAAGATACGCTGTACCAAGGAATCTATGGCAAATAGGAATGTCCGCTACAGATGCTTTTGGTCACATACCATGGCATCATGAATGGCTGTGACGCAGTATGACTATAGTTGTGCGGAAATGAAAGCCTATGCTGAAGTCTTCATAAACATCATGACATTGTTATAGTAAGGATGGGAAGTGATAGCAAGAGCACCAAGAAGCATTACATCAGATTCTCACGCAATTCTGCTCGTGAGACAATTCAGCGCCGGTAGAATCCGAAAGCCTACCTATCATTACGTGAAAGACAACAGTGCAAATGCGGCAAAATAGCAAAGAGGATGCGACAAATACAACTTTATATTGTTTAAGCATTTACTCAAATGAGTTTTAAATAGTCTTTGCGGTCATTGTTGTGCCAAAATATCGAAATGGTTTTAGTGCTCGGTAACGAATAGCTGTGAAAACCTATTGAAATGTATGAGATGATGTTTTTCGTACTCCAGCGTAGATGGGTAGCCATTCGGCTTCCACGGTTGACAGTGATGACATCAGTCATCTTTTGCAAACTCGTTAAAGATTTGGGCTGTACGGGGACTCGAACCCCGGGCCCGGGGTTCGAGTCCCCGTACAGCCCAAATCTTTAACGAGTTTGCAAAAGATGACTGATGTCATCACTGTCAACCGTGGAAGCCGAATGGCTACCCATCTACGCTGGAGTACGAAAAACATCATCTCACGCTCTCAGTCCCAGCGGATAAAAACAACACCTAAGACTATTGAAATGTAAATAATTTTTCGTACTTTTTTCCAATTTCCTGCAAATCACGTGACGCCAGTTGGTCTTGGAGTTCCAGTAATCTCAACAAATCACGACACGACTCTGAATCAACCTCAAACCGACTGACACAAGCTGACTCCAGTAAAGCAGATAGCTGTGTTTATATCCCCAGCGCCTGTATCTGGGCTGAACGGGGCCAGATCTCATGACCTCCCCCCCCCTCCCTACGGCAGAGGGCAGGACCCCGCGACACTGTCACTTCGCTCAGGGGTCAGACCTTTGAACGACTGGAGGGCAGGCCTTGAGCAGGGGGCGGCAGCGTGATCGGGTTATTTATTGATGTTTGTTTGTGCAGGGCATCTGGTCGAGTTTGCTTTTCGATGGCCGCGTGATACTGCATTCTTTGTGCAGATAAAGGATTGTGTTTATCCTTGTATGTTTATCCGTAACAGTCAGAATGTCATTGGTGTATCTTTGCAGCTATAGTGGACTTGACTCAATAAGTTACCATTTCTTTCAAAACTCTGTATCATAAAAATACTATAAGCCTCCAAGTTATCATCCTACGAACAGTCCAAATTTAGCCAAACACCATTATTGTAATTCGCGACCAATTCGTCTCCAGCCAATTCACCATCACCATCTTCCAGATCAGAGGCAAAAGTACTTAAAAGATGCGCATCTTGAGAACCCAAGTAACACGACCCTCCCTACACTCCCTAGTAAGACCATTTTTCCACTTCCGCCAGGCGCATGCAGTTGGGATTATCTCCAAAAGGCGTGCCTGCTCTGCAGGCACAGAGCCTCAATCCAGCCAGCACAAAAAGCTACACCAGTGATTTGCTCCGATAACTCCACCAGACTGGTTCCCATCCCATAGCCACCGGATCAGACGCCGCAAAAACACTCCCGAGACGTGATCGGGTGCACAAAGGCTGTGACGTCAGAGTGACGTCATTGTTAGGATGTCTCCATACATGGAAGAACGGAGGCGAAGATATGGCCCGGTCCCACTGCCCCAGCCATGATCAGAGCTGCAAATTATAGACACGGGGCTGTGTTTTATGTCGGGAGGTAGAATGACAACGCAGGGAGGTTACATAACACACAAAAAGTGTCTGTCGAACGGATGTTTATCTGTAGTTACAAAACACAGGTTCACAGCTGAATCTGTGTGCTTTCTGGACACAACTGCGACCTTCAGTACGACGATATTTAGTAAAAAGTAAGGTTAATCTGCATATCGAATCCAGGAAATATCAGCTAAACGTACGACAAAGCGCGTCACTTAAAATCAAGGCCATTTCCGGATACCCTTGTTGATCTCAAAATCCGCTAAATTCTACCAAAGGCGAAAAATGCCAACAGTTGCTGAGACCACTCACCATGGAGGTGGATGTTGATCTTGCTGAGCTTCTCCAGTCTCTTCCTCTCCGCCTTCGTCATGTTCAGCCCGTCCACAAGAACCTCCATGCTGCCCTGGCGCCATCCTGCGGACAAAAAACGAACCGTCAATAAGAGGCTCCGAATAAATAAGCAGATGAAATAATAAAAAGGAGAGAGGGGGATAGAAGGGGGTGCAATTTTCTGCAAACGTGGCATTTTAGCCTGTTAGAAGGAAGGATTAATATACCATGCCTAAAAGTAAAAGCTGCGCACATGAAAACCTCATGCAACTTCATTGTGGCGTGAACACCGTGCCATTTCATGGTGGATTAATATCAGCATTGCACGCAGTGCACATTAGCACATTCAGTGAGTGGTATAGGGGTGATATAACGGATACGAGTGAAAACTGGTGCATGGCACCGCCAGCGAAGGCCAGGATCGCATGAGACCACAGTTTTATGACCTCGGGGGTGCATGATAACAAACATTTGCCGAGGGTGGAAAATGTACTTTGACTGTCCCGCGGCCGGTCAGCGAGCCAGAGGTCACAGATATTTGTTTGATCAGACGCCAGAAGGCTCCATTCTAGCGCTGGGTGTCAGGGTTCCATGGGATCGAAAAGCCTACTTACGGTGAAATATATAGCCATGTTCTTCACAACCATGACGAAATATAGACAAATGGTGATGCATACAGACAAAAATGAGATTGATTGATGAGCGATGCAAACAAACTGATGCGAAGAAATTGGTGCCTTTGATATTCGGAGCAGTGCATTCATAATCCAAGTGTTTCTCTATGGTAAAAATTTATTTCTATAGTAGCAGATTCAGAAAACCATCAATTAATTCCCATCCCATCTATTTATTGATCAATTAGTGGACAGAAATCAAGGGTCACCAAGTTCATTTTCTCTCCATTTCACCAGCACACCACGACTATTGAAGTCACGGGCCTGGGTCACACCGTCTCTTAGAAAGCAGCACGCACAGGCCTCCGACCCAGGCCTCGGCTCTAAACGGCCAATCAACAATTATGGCTGGCGTGTCGGAGGAGACCCGCACGGCACTGCACGCGCGCGGGACTGATCAGTATGTAAATGGCCGAGTGGAGTTAATTGCGGGTGACGACTGTATGGGACAACTCACGAGGCATGTGATTTCGTTACTCGTGCTGCAGTGGAGGTGGTGAGACCAACACCAGCGGGTGGCGAATGGGAATGGTGGTTCACGAGAGAGCGGTACAAATTGACGAATTTTCCGTCACCTTCGGGGACGGAAAATGGGCGTCTTGGAAAATGGGAAATGCGTTTGACGGAAAATGGGCGTCATAAATTTGGGAATAGAATACTTAGAAACTCAATTGCAATTTGCATGCCAACCACGCGGCATGGTAAAATGGACTTGATTTGACAAAACATCACGAAAATATTGTCTATGCGACAGAAAATGTCATGCATAGTAGAGGAGCAAAAGTTATTTTGAAGCATCACTTCAATCCGATGTAAGGCATTCTATCTATCCCGGCTGCGCCAGCTATCTTATTTCCCACCAGTCATCTATGATCGATTTGTCGACATTCGTTTCAAATCACAAGTTATTTATCCATATTGATCAAAGGACCGAAAGCACGCAGTTTACCATCGACCAAATCACACGGATGAACAATTCATCGCTCTTCTCAAATATCTGATTGATCAGTCGTGAGCTGCGGATTCCAGAATGATCGATACTCTTCTGAATTACAATTCAGCTTGATGCATTGACCGATAGTCCCAAAACCATAATCAATGAACCGTCACACGCTTCATTCGCCTGACAAAACAGGTGATTCCAGAAATACCCATCAAGTCATGTCATATCATTCACGTCTTCCAGCTTCAAAACAAGGCGACTCATTTCGTTCCCGAAATGAGACTGTCCCGATCCGTCGCCATTCCGTTTTGAAATCGTCATAAATTCATTGTCCCCAGCTGGGTACCCTGTCACTCCTTCGCTTCCAAATGCCCTATGTCCCTCACCGTCACTCAATAGAATCACCATAGTGACATCATCCCAAGCATATTCATATATTCAATTGATTCATTTTCTTTTCCCATAATGTCACTGCCCCGCCCGAGCTTCTTTCAATCAGTTGAACTGTCTCAGCAGAACCAAACCAACCGAAAAGCACACGTGGCATGACATGACCGCACGAACAGCACGGGATAGGTTGTGATAGGGCGGCCCCTCCGTCGTTTGAGTGCTCGTGGCGCCACGTGATCACCCATGGCGGATCGTGGCTGGTCATATCTCTACGCCACGTGACACCACGTTATTTCACGTGGCATCCATCACTCATTCCCAACCTTCCCCGATTCCCGCAGCGGCCACCCGGCAGTCCGGTCACGGCCGGTGCCGTCTCGACCCGACGGTTTAGCGTCACGTCAGGACGTCTTATTTACTGGAGCGTGTCACCACCCGCCCGTGTGGTCTCCCCAGGGATTGGACGTCGCTCAGAGGTGCGCCTTCAGACTTCACAGGAGGATCGGCGGATGATGTAATCGAGCGACAAGCGTCCAAACGTGGCGGGTCGGCGAGGCAGAAAGAGTGGAAAGGCGAAATCAAAGCAGAAATTTAGATCAAATCGTTAACGAGACTTTCATTTTAAATGAGGAGTTTAAGAATTCTAGTGGTCCCAGCTGGAGCTTACTGGATTTTGTAATTTCTTCCTCTTCCGAAATGCATGCATTCCGAAAGTTTAAGAAATCGTTCAAGAAATTCAATGGCGTCATCAGTGTGTTAGGCATCAGACAAGATTGCGGATGTCAAGTACATGCCAGAACTTTGCAAAAAGTTTCGTCAACAGAAAAGCAGACCCAAAACTCAACAGACCGGCATTTCATGACTAACAGCTCAGTTAAAAACCACCTTATCATTGCAGGGTGGGAATTCCGTAACAGTTGAAGCTTCTGCGGTAACTGACCACTACAAGTAACAGCATTTGAAGCCAACGGCATCCTCTCCCCCCCCTTGTGACAAAGACTGCTGCCCAGAGGCCAGACAAAGGCGACCCAGAAGCAAGCATAAGGTCACTTCTACGCACCAGCTGCAACCGGTTATGGGTATTTCGCCAGCTTGGGAATTGCCAACCTCATGGCCATGGGACATGTGAATTTCATGACTAAGAAACTGCATTTCTAGCTTGTGCCACTAAACAGTCAGCAAGTAATACCGATTGGTTCAAAGCACCTTTTGCGTTGACCATTCGTGCTTCGTTTCCTTTCTCTTGTGCCTTTCATCAACCCGTCTCATTATGCTCACGAAACTCGCGTGACCATTTAGCCGCCTTAGCACGTCAGAAAGATCATTTATTACGATCATGCGTGACGTATGCGTGCGCTCAGCTATATCCCACATCATTTACATCAATTTACAAGTCACTTGTCGACCCTGGAAGACGAACCGCGAGAAATGTGACGATTTGTCAAGTCGATTACGAATATATTATTACTAGCGACAGCAAGGATGAAAAAGGATAATGAGGATATTAGTCGAAATGACTTCCACTGATTGATTGCGGATGAAGGTCTGTCAGAGCGAATAAATTTAGGAGTTCAGCATGTTTCCATGTTATTATGGTTTTACTTAGCGTAAAGAGCTTTGTAACTGAAGCTTACGAAGAAAAGTGAGTTTAAAATCTAATATATGAGTCACGGACCCCCGGTCAGCGGCGCCTTTGATGGTGAAATTTCCCGGGCGATTACAAGATAGAAGGTAAACAACATTAATATCCAAGAAGCCTAATCCAATCAGATCAGTACCGCTCAGATTATTCATGAACGTCGCCTTGGCTACAGACGCGCACGTCGCTGACTGTAAAATTCACAGAACTTGTCCAGGCATCTCCTCCAGAACTCAGTCCTGAGCATGTAGTCACGTTTTCGTTTTCATTTATCATCTGCATGATGACCTGAACACGATCAATTCCCACAAACAAACGGGAAACGTGAACGTCAGCATTCTTCGCCAATCAGCCAATCAGGCGGTGCCGCGAGCTCCCGGAGGGTGACGCAATATGGCGCTCGAATTGCGGCGTGTCAGGGGGCGTATGGTCACCAGGCTGAAAGCTGGTTAGTCATAACAGACCGTGCGATGGCCTGCTCGTCAGGATGTCAATCATACAAGCCAATTATCGCAGACACTAACGACTGCAGAGTCGAACGTCCAAGGGGTATGCGCTATGTAAATAACACATGGCTATCTTCATAGGATAAGTGAGATAAATGATCGAGAGGTAAATATATCGTAACAGCAACAATTAACCCTTCCACCATGCCTTTCAGCTTTCACCAATAGTAGTTACTAGTGAAACACATTCATGCAGAGTTAGGTAAGCTATCAGCAAAAAGTACTCCTCACAGCACTTTTCTCGGATGTAGCAATCTGCAGTTTTACATAATTGGCCGTTTTACATTATAGTTTTACATTATTCAACAGTGGCCAATATAACCCGAATCAAATGTTCCACTGTTATTCAAAAATAGGCATTGGACCTTTTTAAGGGATCATTGGGAACATTGGGATATTTGAGCTAACTTAGCAGATCAGCAAAAATATAGGAACCAGAACAGGCCAGAACAAAATATCCCTGGATATTTCCTAGGCCCCTCACCCCCTTCCCTATCCCAGAGGCGCAAGCCCGCCTTCGCTAACATCTGCCCACATCCGTCAAATTCAAATCCTTCCCCCCAGAGTCCCTCCGCGCCCCACGGAGCCCCCGTCCCGCGCCCGAGGGCGGCAGGGGACCTACGTTTCCGTCCGGCGACTTCCGCCGTGGCGTCGCGCAGGGTATCCGAACTTCCGGAGCGACGACGACCAGTCCGCGATGGCGTCACATCCGCATAGAGCTGCGAGAGATCTGTGATGGTCTTTGGTCGGTCTGAGGAGCGATCCGAATCGTAGCTGGACGCTCCAGAGTCGCTTCCCGCCTCGCTCGCGCCGGCTGAATCGGCGCCGTCTGCTGAGAAGAGTCGTGAAGCGCGAGAAGCTCGGGCGACAGATGTGAAGGCGGCGTAGGAGACACGTTGGCGACGCCTAGCACGGGTTTCGCCAGCTTCGGGACTGGCAGGACTACTGGCGGAGGCCTGGGTATCCGTGACAAAACTACACATGTTCAGTTTCTCACTCTGCGTGTCGTAGGCTTCAAATGTCATCCTCGCTTCACGAATGGGTTTGACATCGCGCTTGGCGCTAGACTCGCAACCCTGACGATTCTCGCGAAGAACATCAGCAACATCCGCAAGATCATCGTCCGATTCTTCACACACGGGCTGTGGGACTCTTCGTCTCACGAACGGTCTTTCGAGCTTCCGCAGCCTCTCCTGGAAGCTGCTGCGCCGCTGTACCCCAGCAGCCGGGGTCAGGGTCACACTCTGCGTACGGGTCAGCCTCGAAGCAGGGCTTCTCTGGCGGCGAAGACGTATCTTGAACGGCTCAGCAAGCCTGGAGATGAGTCGTGATGAGTGCGTTTCCGGGAGACGCACCCGCAGACTCAGTCGCACATCTGAGAACCGGGAGCGATGCGCGAGGGCGTTGGCCTCCATGGGTCGAGCTCGACAAACCACGGGGCCATCAGAGGGACGGCTCAGCGGCACTCCTGACGTGCAGGGAAGGGGGATCGCCTGCAGTGCGTCTCGACCCTCGCAAGTGTCGCGAACATCGCGAGCAACCCAGGGAATACGCGGCATAGACCGGCGTGTTCTTGCCACGCCGTCCATGGTGTGATTTCTAAAACTTCTTCAACAGGTTCAACGGCAGAATCCGTTACGGTCCAGTTTCTTCAGAAGAGCGAGGTAACCTCGAATGAAAATGAAGGACAAAGGGCAAAGGTCACCCGGCTCAGTTGACAGATAACTCGCTCTCTGCAGTTGCGGTTCGTTGCTAAAATCTCCGGTTCACCGCCGGAGCGAAACGGTCACCCGAATCGGCACGTCCGTTTTCGCGGCACTCCCAGATCTGTTTCACATCAACAGGGCGGGATAAATCGCAGTTCCGTGGATAGAGGAGACCACGCCGCCTGCGCCTCGGCTGCTTCAGAGATGCCTGCGACCCAGTTCGGTTTGAATGACTCACTGGTTCGCAGGAGTATTGAGTTCACTAAATGGTGGGAATACAATGTTCACAAGTACGGCGTGAGAAAGGTCGCAGCGGCTAACGACACTGGCGACATTGAAATTGTTCGCTGAATGTCTCCGAAATCGAGCACCGCCGCCTCGACGACTGTTCGATTTTTTTTCAGAAAATCACACTGTCTGCATCATTAGAAACGTCCAAACATCGTTCCTTTTCCCACTATGTTCACCGTAACACTGACACTTTCGCGCTGTCCAAATCACAACACTCGCGGGGTTGACACCGTCCAGACCAGACTCACTCCAAACCTCAGTCCTCCCCTCACACTGTCCCTACACGTCACGTCCAACGTCCACTCGCGCCACGCTCGACGTCCTCTCGCTCCGACGTCTCTCGCGCGCAAATCGGTCGCGCCGGCGCGAGCTCCGTTCGCGCGCTGCTCCGCGGGTCCACTGGCGCCGCCGGCGCGGGCTCGCCGGCGCGCGAACGGCCCACACCCCTCATGACGTCACAAACAGCTGTGCCGCGACTCGGGCCGAGATTGACGGCTGACAACGGCAACACGGGCGGACCGTATGGAGCAAGGGAAACTTGACTAGAAGGCGTGATACTTTCCCAAGCTGTCCTGTTTTTGCTTTTTTCCTTCTTTCTCTTTTCTTTTTTAATTCCTTTTTCGAACGACACTGTTCCCAGCTGACTGACGGGCAATGGTCAAAAACAGCGCCACGGTTCATATTTCATAACCTTCTGCAAGAACATGACCCCTATACCCAAAAGACTAGCCTGGCAGGTTAGGGGTTGGGCGGTCTATGGTTAGGGGTCGGGCGGTACCATGACCCCCCTCGCACACCGATGGCTACAAAATTATCCACATGACAGCTTTGATGCCATGTTTCATTCAGCCAAGCTGGTCTTTGTGCTGCAAGTGCACGAACTGACTGAGCTGCTTCGCGTCTTACCACCCGTGGACCAGGGATTGATGGGGTTTGCAGTTTGTGAAACAGACACGCGCCTGCTTGCATGCCGCTTTTGCAGGGGTGCGAGCTAAGAGGGAAGCTAAGCTACGGGAAGCGAGACGAGGGTTGGAAGGGGAGGGGAAGGCAGAACGTGATGCAAAGCTGCAGAAACCTATTTCCTGCCTTAGGTATGTGGGAGGTATGTGCCGCGTGGTTCCTGCAAATACAGGTGGACTGAACGAAGGCACGAAAGTATGCGGTGGGGAGGTAAGGTCATTTTCCTAATGTCACGTCCACTGCCCAATTTATGGATTGACCCTGGCCTAGGTAGGCTTACAACAGCTTTCAAGATTAAATGTTTTGGGGAAACGTCGCATTGATCGGTGGCTTATAGTGCGTTGTGTTGTTTTTACTTTGGTTAATTAAACGTCTTGTAATTTACACAGCTAAGTGCGGTACTAAAGGTCAGTGTTCTTGTTCCGCATAAAACTAAGCAGTAAAACATGATCTAAAGTTTTAGTGAGTTGAATCAATAGTTCATAAATACTGAACAAAGTATTCCTACAGTTTGGTGAATGACCACAGTTTTACGGGCCAATCACAAATTTCAAACAGTTTATCTACGATCCGGGCCTGATCATTCCCAGGCCTGCACCGCCCCGGACAGTTGACATAAAGCCCTGGGTGGCCTGTCCGACAGTCTTTACGGCTCTATCAACGCTATAGTGAGCTCAACTCGCCCAAGTCCTAGGAGGCGTATCGACCAGCCAGGCTTTTCCAGTTAGGACGAATTCGACGCAGACCGTCTCGTTTCTGGGCATCATTACCGAAGATGGACGGTTCACCTGATGTCAGTTTTCTGCTGAGACACCGAATATCACCAGCCGTTAGTTTACTGCTCAGATACCCAATATCTTTCGACGTTAAAATGTGAGTGCGCACTGCACAGTGCACAGTAGTGCACACAGACAGAAACAGTTGCAAAAAAAAAACTGCACATGTCAAGAGCTTGCATCAAGACCTACTGTGCCGGTGTATACGAGAGAGCCAAGCAACATTTAACGTAATGACTGCTATCGGGCGAGTTCTTTTTAGGATAGCGTATCGCAATTTCAGACAGCTTTCAGCGGTTGACCTCGAATTCAAATCAGTTCCCTGCCGAAGTAACACATGTCATGACTTACATAAGGAAGACATCACCGTAATGGGTATCTTCAACACTTGTAGCCCTCTCATTTTGGGTAACGCCAGTCACCAAATGGGTCTTCGGCTGGGTCCTTGGCTGTGCATGGGAACGAGGCTACACTGAATGCACCGAGCATGCAGTACATGGCCGGGGTGACATGGGAGCAACATGCACTTTACTAGACTTGCCACTGCTTGCTCGACAATTGTCAGTAAATAGTTACACCTTTCATTTTTCACAGGCTACTAGTCAGGTCTTAATACTAAATGAAATCCTATCATGAATATGAAAATTTGTTGATGTTTTTTTTTGCTCTTCTAATTTGCGTTCATACTCATACGTGTTTCATAATTAACGAAAGATAGCTATGCAAGATGTACAATGTAACAACATACAAAGTGTCTGAAACAAAAAAGTCAGTGAGGTGCCTTTATGCTGTAAGCTAAATCAATATCATCCATAAACGCTACTCAGAGCTTCCATAAATCATACCCAAATTCCATCTACGTTTTATCCAAAACATGCATAACGCTGTTTAAAATGAGAAACGGAAACATGTACCGGACGCTATAATATTTATATTAGATCCGTGAACAAGACCCGCGCGGCGCTGTGGAAGCTTTTGCGGACACATTTCCAGCGTCTCATTCTGCAGCTATCGCTGACACGCCAGCACATCCACACCACAGCGGTGCCTGAGCTCAGCTTCCTCTGAAGACCGCAACAGCTGAATCATTGCACACAGTGACGTCAGAAGGCTCGATAGAAAGTAAAAGTGACGTTATAAAAACATGAGCCAGGACTTAGCTAATGAAATGAATAATACTTGATAATGACATTCGTCCACCATTCAACCTTAAAACGCCCTTTTCCGATGAGTAATTTGAGGTCATAAACCTGCAGAGTCACATTGTGTGTAAAAGCACACAAAAGATGATTGTTATGATGATTCCAGCATTCAAATTATCACTCAAAGCAGAGAAAAGAGGAGAGAGTGAGAGTGGTGGAAGAAGCAGGTAAAGAGAAGGCAGGGATAGAGAGAGAGAGAGAGAGAGAGAGAGAGAGAGAGAGAGAGAGAGAGAGAGAGAGAGAGAGAGAGAGAGAGAGAGAGAGAGGGGTGAAAGAGCGGAAGACAGGGAGGGAATAGGACGGACGGAAGCGACGGTGGCTGGGAGCCGTCCAGCTGTGGCATTGCCTGCATTGGGTCGGTAGCCGCCGAAGGCCGTGGAACTAATGATGAGTCCCCCCATAGCGCGGCCCCTGTCTGACCCAGAGTAGGAGAGTGAGAGCATAAGCAGGGATCAATACCAAAGCTTAAAGATCCAGGCGGGAAATGGCACATGCTGCGATAAATGAAGACATAATTTGTCGGTTAATATTTAGCTTGAATATAGGTGTGTTTGCAAAAAATATTATGGTGTATGTTTTGATTCCGATGACGACGTGAGTAAGAAAAAAAACACAGATGCAACGTACGGCCTGTCTGAAATAGCTTGCTTTCTATGAAGAAAGCTTTATCGCTTCTGAGAATACGACCAAGTGAACGTCAACAATGTTGCGCATGAACACCATCCACAATGGACAATAATATCTAATATAAAAAATCCGGATCATCTAGACATCACCGTAAGGTGCAACTGCAACAAAACTTATCAACACACTTCAACACACCGTTGCGCGGGCAAAAAGGATTCTTCGCAGCAGCGATTTCGAAGGTTACGGCGCAAAACATGAAACTGAACGTGATGGGATCTCGTGAGTTTCGGTACTATCGTGGAACATGTGATCCCCAGATGAAGCCGCACCGTTTAGTTCAATCTTCTCTAGATTGAGGCGAGATAAGTCCGCTATCATTGGAAACTCCCATAGATGACCGACGCCGCAAGAGTATAAAATCATTCCAGCGGGTTTTCTGATGATGAGTGTGTTAGATAAAATACGACACAGCCATGCAACTTTAGGTAAGCCGCTATGTAAATGCCCGAAAGCAACGGAATTTCCGAGGAGAGCAAGACATTTTACAGGTGTTACTGGAATTAGTTAACAAATGCCAACTGTTTAGTGTTTCTCTTATTCACACAATCCATTTCAATACAATGGCGGAAATTAATGAACAAAGAAATCGGAAGATAAAGCCACTTGAAGTCATGCCTCCGACATTTCGTCCCGATTCTGCCAGTTTATCCACATGTCCAAATTCGCTTAAGCTGTGTTCACAAGTGCGTAAAAGTCGCTTAGTGGTCCACGCGACCGGCCAGCCACCAGTCTGGATTTTACAGGCTCAAACTGTGCTCAAACTCCCCTAAAACTCGAGACAAGACGACATTCAGGCATCAAATGACGCTTTTAGAACGGTTTACCGTTTACTGGAGCATAAAGCCAAACTTGCGCATTAAAATAGCTTCCGCATGCCATACAAGAACAAACAAAATGCATGTTCCTTTTTTGATTGCAGTCATGAAATCTCAACTCCTCTCTGCGATCTTTTTCTAGCATCTAGCCGACTGATCTAAACGGATCCTAAAATTCCGACTTGACGAAGGACTCTGTTCGAACCGAATACCCTAGATCTCTCCTTTGTGAAGACATAGAGCTCAGTCGTCGTCCCATGAGGGCCACCAGGGCTGGCGCGGCAGGGTTCAGATGCCATTTCACAGTTTTACCGACTCTTCATCGACCAACTCGAGGAAATAAACTCAGCCGGCTGTCGGCCAGGACGATCGATGACAGCCGTTAACATGAACAAAATTGACAAATGGCAGCAGAGGAGGAACTCTTTCCAGTTTCGCACGTGTCTGGCCTGAGGATTCAGCAACGTCTTTGCAAAGGGATGCAGGCATATATATTCAAATGATATTCCGGTCACGAAGTTGCCATTTGTGTTCCACCGGAAAAAGCGAAACAAGAGCGAAGCGTGCAGTTGCAATATAACGTGGCGCAATTCAGCTAGCAAACGCACGAAAACGATTTAAGCGATTAGTAAATTCGACAAGTAAGCTACACGGACGACCCGACACATGGCCATGCTGACGTAAATCTCGGAGCAATGCTAACGAGTCTTGAGCGAATCGGTGCCAATGGTTACGTCTCAGACACATTCGGGTATTCACCACCGAATTTAACATTCACCTCACCACTTGAGGTACATTTCAGATCAAACGCTATCGGCATTCACTGCATAAATCCATCTGAGGAACCGGAAAGGAAATATTCATCGTCATCTGGCAGCTGACAGATTTGGCAGCACTTCTGATGTGCTCCGCTCGAACAATTTCCGTCGGCGACCATAGAAAACGCCAGAACGGATACGAA